GCTTTAAATTAACGTTTTTATAGTTGTTTCGCATATAGGTGAGATCTATCCCGAGGACGATCGCAGTCACTCGAGGCAAGGGGGTTACGACCCTTCCACATACCAGTGAGTGGGCTTTTGGTTTTCCGTATATACATATATACTTGTGGTTTTTCCCAGAAAATGATATGGAATGTTTATATGTTTTAAATGCCATGCATTGCGTTTGCCTATTTATTTATGCATTAGTAGTTGCATATATGTATGTTTGGTGATGCGAACGTATAGGTAAGTTATAGTTTATAGTGTGACGTAGTGGTTATATGAGATACATAGAGAGCTCATAACCTGCACCCCCGGTGTTAGTGCTCCCGCCCAGAGTAGGGCACAGTCCTTCACGTGATGTTCACCTCCCGCACTACACCCTTATCTTGGATACAAGTTAGGTACACAGTCCTATCGTACAGACCACTATAGATGGTTCCGATTTGTAGGTGACTCGCGATTATTCGCCCAGTCTTCACGTGACCGTAGCACTTGAGTGTATTTATTTACACCCAGTCCTATCTTACAGACCACTTTAGGTGGTTTCGACTCGTGTGCAGGTATAGTTAGTGAGTTGAAGATTTAAGCTCTAGATTCAGCCGTACAGGTCACGTTAGGTGTCAGGTTGACATATTACATTGCATTGATTGACATTACCTAGGTTACTTACAGTTTATGTAGAGGCATTCGACACGGCATATTTTTGAGCATGTTTTCGATATATGTGTATATTCTATTTTCTAGGAAACTATAAAGGTTTTACGGCGAAGGGTTAGAAATTTTAATAAAATGATTTTGAAAAGTTTTGTTTTTGCCCACTCACACTTTCTGTTTTGCGCCCCTCGATGTTCTAGTTTGGGTTGCTTTTTTGGTGGCTTACAAGGAATCCACGACATATCTGAAAGATTATATCCAGTGTAGGACCACCTCTAGGTGTGTTTAGTTAATGTTTGTTCCTTTGGATTGCATTAGGCTTTCTGTGCTTTGAATATTGTTGTCACACTTACACTTGCACTTGTAAGTTAACTACATTGTTTAGTAGTTTGGTTTTTATTTATTCGTACTTTTACTATTATATTTTGCTTTCGTACTGTGCACATGGCTACGTCACCCTCACTTGAGGCCCAGCACGCCTTGATTTAGGTCGGGGTGTGTCAGCGATATTTTGACACTTATCCACTTAATTATTGTCAATACATCGATATTTTTATCGATATTATTGCGATAATATCGGAGACGATATTTTCAGCATTTTAATGTATATATTTGGGCAAATATCGATAATATCGTGAGATGAAACCCAAAAATACTTGAAAAATATTGAAAAGTCTCAATCTTGAGCATAGAGGGATTCGAACCCTTCCTTTTGTCAACCACGCACCTAGGTCTTATCCAACTCGTTACAGATGTGTTTGTGATTACATATTCAGCCTGTATTATTTATATGGTCGTTAAGATATTTGCAAGGCTTGCAAGCTAATATTTATTATCTAGGATAAATTTCTATGTTTTAAAAAAAACCAAGGGGATTCCAACCCCTCCCATTTTACTCCTTCAACACCTTGACCACCATATCACTTATGTTTTTGTGAAAATATGCTAAAATATTTATATATATGGTTTTGTTTTGAATTCTTTTTGCAAGAAACAAATTTGCACATGACAATGAATCTTTGACAATTTCTTTTCAAGTATCTACTTTTGAACTACTCACCACGTTCACTCGCCTAACTAATTAGTTGTAGTCATATTTCTATATATATGGTTAGGTAGTTCTATTTCTATATATACAAATAAAATCAAATGGTCCCATGCCGTCCCTTATTCTCAACATCTCTCCAAAATAAAACATAATGCTCATGTAATTCTCAACATCTCTCCAAAATAAAACATAATGCTCATGTTATTCTCAACAACTATCAACCTCAATTTCCCCTCAAGTAAAAAAATAAAATAAAATTGAACTATAGTAAGTTATTTTCATTCATTATTGTTATTTAATTTGCATGTTTGTTATTATCTATTCCAAATTTTTGGTGGTATTATATTTTAAATTATGTCAATTAATTACTTAGTCAATGGCATGTGGTTTTTAATTTTTCTATTTTTTATTTGGTCACTTACATGTGTGTTTATTGTCTCTTGATTCATTATTAAAGACTTTATATGTTTTCATCACATTTTGTTACATTTGTGTAATTATTATTTTACTGTTGGTCCACGTAGATTCTATTTGGCCTTTACACAAAGGGTTCCATATTTAAGGTAAGTTTACAAACTTATATTTATATTATTGTAATTTACACAAGAACAAAAAAATTTGTGTGGACCCGTGCATGTGATCGAAGAACCAAATAATACTTGCATGTTAATTTTTTGAAGTAATAGATAATTGACTAAATAAACATCCTGCAAAGTTTCAATAAAAATTTCCAACTTTGTCTTACAATTTCCGTGGTTTTTATTCAATTTTTATTGATATCGATAATATCCCGATATTTCCATCGAAATTTCCATATTTTTGGACGACTGATATTTGCGATATCATCGATATTTTAGACCTTGGTCGTGATGAGCATCTGTGGGGGATGAATTTGGGGTTGAATTTTATGGGTTTTGATATTTTCTTCTTTTGGGTTTGAAATCTTTTTGCGTTTTGATTAATTTGATGAGCATCTGTGGGGGATGAAGTTGGGGTTGAATTATATGGGTTTTGATGTTTTCTTCTTTTGGGTTTGAAATATTTTTGCGTTTTGATTAATTTGATGGGTTCTATCTCCCTTTGTTCTATGATATGAAATTTATATTGTCTTAAAGAAGTAATTTTATGGGTCGAGGGAGACTTCGTGAAACGTGGAAATGATGATGGGAAGAAGAAGAGAACTAGGAAACGGACACTGTAATGTAGTGTCTGAATAGAAATGTAAAAACAGAACTAAGAAACAGACACTACATTGCAGTGTCTGAATCAAAAAGTAAGAAAGCAAAAAAAAAAAAAAAAAAAAAAAAAGGAAACAGACATTGCACTGTAGTTTCTAAATCAAAATGTAAAAAAAAAAGACAAATAGAATAGGGAAACAGACACTGCATTGCAATGTATGAATCCAAATGTAAAAATAAAGAGTTGCGCAAAGAATGAAGCATAGAAGGCGTGTGAGTGATGAAAAAAAGGGAACCAAGAAATGGACACTACAATGTAGATTTTGAATCCGAGTGTAAAAGACAGAATCAGGAAACAGACATTGCTCTAATTCGTATTGACTTATTCCAAAATATGAAAAAAAGAGTATGAGAAATAGGGCAGTGGCTGATTAGTATTCACCTATTCCAAAATATGAAAAAAAAAAAAAGATGAGAAATAGGGTGTCGGTTGGAGTGGGTGCCAGTTGTAGTGGTATATTTTGTAATTTTTGTTTATTTTAAATGCATTTAAGTGTTACAATACATGATTGATCTATTTATAATTAACATAAATATTGTTGATCTACTATCAATATGATAACTTTGTATTGATTTTATACAAAATCACTCTTTATTTAAAATGTCAATCAAATACAACTCTTTCAAAATATTTAAACTCCTAGCTTTTTACTAATTCATAATCAGATTGATAGAAATTAAATTGAGGAGAAATTAGATTGAGGAGGAATCATAATCATATTCTTATTAAGTTTTTTGCTAAAACTGTCTGAAATCAAAATACGAAAGCTAATGAACAATAGAAATTGTGTATTAACTCATAGGGTAAATTACATTTTCATACCTCAGGTTTGGGGCCTATTTCAATTCCTTACAACATCTTCAAAACATTTCACTTTCATACCTTAAGTACTATTTTATTTCAAAATAATACCTTCGTTACATTTTCCATCCATTGATCCGTTAAGTTCTGACGTGGCTGCCAAATGTCTATCACGTGGCAAAAAAAATAAAATTTTAATTAAAAAAAAAACTTGAATCTTCAGCCAAAAAAAAAAAAAAAGGTTAGAAAACTAGATCCCATCACCCCACCCTCCCCCTCGCCGAAACCCCCCATACGTAAACCTTCAACCGAAAAAAAAAAAAAATAGAAAATCCAGATCCCGCACACCTTCCTTCCCAGATCCCGTCAAAACCCCCTCCTCGGGGGTGTCGGAGCCTCATCATCTTCCATCCGTCGTTCGCACCCATCCTCCACCTCCTCCTCCACACCCATCCTCCACCTCCTCCGTGCACCATCTTCCCATCTTCCCCCTTCCAACTTGAGCCCAACCTGTAACCCAGAAAGAAGAAAAAGGAAAAAACCCAGCACACCCACCCTCCGCTCCCACCCTCGCACGCACCCTCTTCCCTCCTCTATACACCCCACTCCTTAAATCCACACTCATTGGGGAAGACGGGATCTGGGTTGTATGGAAATGGAGAGTTTTTTTTTCCTTTCTTTTTTGGGTTTTTTGTTTTTATTTTCTGGGTTGCAGGTAGTGGGTGCAGAGGAGGAGGTGGAGGGTGGGTGCACAGTGGGTTTGGGGAAGACGGGAGGGAGGAAGATGAAAGATGGGCTTTTTTTTTTTTTTTTTTTTTTTTTTTCCATCTCCTCTTCTTCTTCTAGGTTGTAGGTTGGGTTGGGGGTATAGAGGGATAGGGGTTGCGGGTTTAGCTTTTGTTTTTGGTTTTTATTTTTATTTTTAGAAGGTTCAGTTTTTTTTTTAAATTACAAATTTTTTTTTGCCAAGTGGTAGACATTTGGCAGTCATGTGGCATATATGTGGTAACCACATCAGCACTTAACGGATCAATAGATAGAAAATGTAACGGAGGTATTATTTTGAAATAAAATAGTATTTAAGATATGAAAGTGAAATGTTTTGAAGATATTGTAAGGAATTGAAATAGACCTCAAACCTGAAGTATGAAAATGTAATTTACCCCAACTCATACGAATCGAATGAAAATTAATATTATTACCAAAATGCCCCTATGATCAGTAATCTATTTGTTGTTGCTGTTGAAGTTGGATTCACGGAATTTTCTGTCTTTTTCTCCTCCTCCTCCTCCTTATAAAGGTTCAGAGTGTGTCCTCCTCCACGTTCAGACTTTTACTCCGACGCCCATATGCTGCCGCATTATTACAGTTCAGATTCTTCTTCTTCTGCTTCGTTGCCGGGGCTTTGTTCCTTCTTCCTTCTCGCTCTTAATTTGTAGTCTGGTTTTCTTTCTAAATCTCGATTTCACGGATCCCTATAGGAATTGAGGTCCTCACCGTCGCCGGAGTTTTGTTTCCGGTCAAAATCCTCTGAAATCAGTGTATACTGAGACCCACCTCTCTTCATCGCCGGGGTCCTCTGGATCTTCCAATCACTTGCACTCAACAATCAACATGGCTTATGTTTCGAGCAACAAAGAGGTAAACCTTACATTGCTCAATTTGATGAAGCAACAGCTTAATTAGTATGATCTGCTTCCTAGTTTTGAAAATATTGTGTTAAATTACGATTGGGCGGGCTTTGTGCTTGCGTGCTTGCAGGGAGACTCTTATGATGTGAGCAATGGTGATGCTCAGAAAACCGTTTTCGATTTGGGTGCATTTGTTGGGGACTTGACCGTTGAGGAGGATGCAAGCAGGTATATACTTATTTCGTATATCTACATAGTTGATGTATTGAGTTCACATTGTCAAATTTTGGCTAACGGCTATTGGATACTGCACTAGGAATCAGTATTCACCCATGTATGAGTAATGCCATGCACAAACATTAGAGAGGTTTATGCGTGCAAATTAAATTGCTTGCTTGAAATGCATGTGCGGCGCGGCCGCATATTATGCTGAGTATGTTGATGACAGATGGAATAAGTATTCTAGAATTTCAAATTATAGTCTGAGAGTGCTTCATCTCAGAAATGATTCCATTGTAACTTTTTCCTCTCCTTTCAGTGATGATATATCGTTAGAAGGACTGCAGCAAGAATTGGAAGAATGTAAACACGATGATGTGAGTAGCATTCAAGTTTCCATGCTCTTTAATGCTCCAATACATGGTTCTAACGTATTTCTTTTAATTGGTATTTTGTTTATTGCGATAAGAGAGAATGGTCTTTTCTCTGTGCTTTGAGGTTTTGAAAATGGTTCTTGTGAAATGTAATTATCCGTTGACTAAGGAGAAGTATATGAACTCATGACAAATGGAATTCCTGGAAGTGATTTTTTCCTGGTCAGAGAACTCATATGATCTTATTTACATATTGAAAATAAGCTAGTTAGTTCATAAGGATTCATGTGGTTGGACACCTATCCCATTTTAATACTTATGTGTAATTTGTGTGAATAGTGAATACAGTAATTTCCTTGTAATTTTGTCGCTCTATTACTTGTGATGAACTAATCAAATGCATCAATATTTCTTCTATCTATCATCTGAATCTGATGTAGAAAGTTGGGAATGTATTGTCTTGTGGTTATCACTAAAATGCATTAATCTTTCGACTATATATCATCTAATGTAGGTAGTTGCGAACATATTGTCTAAAGGCACGAAACTTCGGGAGCATACAAAGGGGGTTGAGAACAATATACGACAAGTTGAATTGGACTCCATCCAGGTTCTCGTTCGCTCACATTCTCTTTACCATTTTTTGTGCATTCCCTAGTTGAATTATTTCTAACAGACTTATCGAGTTATTGATATCGTGATAATAGTTCCTTTTTTTTTCTTTTGTTTCACTTGAGTAGCTGTGCTTGTGTGCATAATATGTGCAAATAAGAAGTGTTAATATTCCTGTTGAAATGTGTACTTCCTTGAGCTTTTTGTGATTACAATATTTACCTTGTAACAAGGTTTATTCACGGTGAACTGTTCTCGTTTTGGTTATCAAACATTTGTTATGTGATTCAAATCTTTTCCGAGAGGTACTCATTTTTCTTGGAAGAGGCTGTGAAAATTTGTGAAGGGTTAAGATTTTGGTTTCATCCTGTTGTGTTTTGGTGCATTTTGAAATAATGTTGTCAAATTTCACCGTTTTCACCATAAATGCTTCTTCTATGGTGCATAGTTATTAATTTTTGTGAAAATCATTTATTCATGGCTCCCATCTAGTTTCCTGCATTAAATTTATATATATAGTGGATAAGGTTCTGGGAATAATTAATTTGATCGTTAGGATCTTCCTTTATGCAATACTGCAGGACTATATTAAAGAAAGTGATAATCTGGTATCTCTTCATGATCAAATTCGTGATTGTGACAGCATCTTGTCACAGATGGAAACTCTTCTGAGTGGATTTCAGGTAGATTGGTCCTTTCTTTGCTGTTTTACAATCATTACATGCTTTCACTCACAGAATGACTGTATCTTCTTTTGCTTATATTGATAGAAAGACTTCTGGCTTCCACTTATGTTTGCAGAAAATATATTTAACGATGACTTTTTAACATAAACATATATACCCAAATAAAAACCCTCGTAAATATCTCTAGGAGGATTACTTTACAGAAATTTTTTTTCCTTCTTTTGACCAGCGTATAAAGTTTTGCTTCAATCAAATACTTTGTATATGTATCGTACCATTATTTGAGTCATGTTAGTTATATTTGCTGCAGTAATTTAATAGGAATGCATTAAAAAAATCCACTTTTGATTTCCATTTTAGTTATATTCTAAAATTCTAATTAGTGTATTGTATTCTTCTTGATTGCGGAGGTGTTTAAAATAACGTACAGTGTTTGAATTTGAAGGTGTTATGTTAGATATATGGACTTTTATATTTTTTTTCTTCTAGTTTTTCATTAATAAAGTATGTGTTTCTTTTAAACGGTTTCTAAATTTTTATTTTATCCCACAACTATGCTCGAAAACAATACTAGTATCATTTCAGCTGTGATACAACTCAAAAGCGCATAAATTTCCAATATTACATGCATTTTAAATGATATCCATTTCCTTTTTCCTGTTCCTTTTCCTTTGGTTTATTAATTTCATATTAGGTTTCCTCAAGTCTTGTTGCTTAACCTCCAAATTCTTGCATTGAGATTTTATTTTATTTCCAATATTTTTTTTAAAAAAATTTAAAGCAAGAGCTTCTATTAAAAACATAAGCATAAGACTGGAGAACAAGGAGTGATCTGAAAAATAAGCACAACATGCAATCAGCCACTCTATCCTTAAATAAATACAACAAACCATAGAATTTTAAGGGGATTGTTTGTCAATTATCCTCACCCTTAACATATATTATATAAATGTCATTAACACTTCAAGAATTCTTTTCCAGTCAGAGATTGGTTCAATAAGTTCAGACATCAAAATTCTCCAGGAGAAGTCTATGGACATGGGTTTGAAGCTGAAGAATCGCAAGGTACCATTTGTTTGTATAAAAAAGCTCTATGTCTTTGCTTCTCTTGAGTTCAATTAACAAATAACCTTTTTGAGTATTAATGAGGCATGCTCCTCTGTAGCTTGCTGGTTTGTGTTATAAAATTGTTGGAATAATATCTGTAGAAATTTCTTACTAGTTTAGCAGATAGTGTGGTATGGAATGCCTGTAAATCATCATTATTGATTAAGGTGAAATGATGGTAGACATAGTTGGTCTGCTTCTTATCCATATGCTTCTTGTTTCTTATATGAATGACCGGTTTATGTTCATTTACCAGGTGGCAGAATCAAAATTGGCAAAGTTTGTTGAAGATATTATAGTCCCTCCAAGAATGGTAGACATAATTGTTGAAGGCGAGGTATATCTTATTCTTTTAATTGTTAAATTTATCCTTGTAAATGCAATATCATCATTTTTCACGTTTTTTCTGTTCGTATATGATAAAAAAGTGCCATTATAATCTTGATAAGAATGTTTTCTCACACTCTCAGCTGTATCATTTCTTAAGTGAAACTTAATGGAGTGTAACACGTTCTTTAGTTGGCATATTGAATTTGTATTATGTTGTGTTGTCTTTCTTTCATTGCTGTTAACATGCTTAATGTCTCGTTGTTATCCAGGTGAATGATGAATATATGAAAACTTTAGAGATTCTAAGTAAGAAGCTCAAGTTTGTAGAAGCAGATCTTATGGTTAAAACTTCAAAAGCCCTAAAAGATGTTCAGCCTGAGCTTGAAAAACTCCGACAGAAAGCAGTTTCCAAGGTTGGTACTAGAGTTGCTAGATAAACTGTCTGATATTGATCACCTAATTGCTTGTGTAATTGTATGTTCTTATCATACATGCCTGATCTATGTCAGTAGAACTGTAAACGCCTCTTAGGAGTAAAAGCTAGTGGTCTTGTGACAAAAATTGGTCATCCTAGCCAGTTAAACATGTGCGCATGTGAGTCTGTCCATTGCTATATGGGAAGCAATGTAATTGAGGTATTTGTCTACTAACTAGTAACTAATTTATTGGGAGGGATTTCAGTCTCTAGTCTAGACTACCAGGTTTTTCACTCAATGTTTTGTTTGTAGTTATGATATGGTTAAAACCTCATGCACAGTACTAATCCATGGTCGGTAAAAGCTGAAATTTGAACAACAACAACAACAACAACAAAGCCTTTTCCCACTAAGTGGGGTCGGCTATATGAATCCTAGAACGCCATTGCGCTCGGTTTTGTGTCACGTCTTCCATTAGATCTCTTAAGTCTTTTCTTAGAGTCTCTTCCAAAGTCTTCCTCTACCCCTTTGGCCCTGAACCACGGGACCGAACCTCTGTCCCGTGATCGCATCTTCTAACCGGAGCGTCAATAGGCCTTCATTTCAGATGCCTAAACCATCATAACCGATTTTCTCTCATCTTTCCTTCAATTCCGGCTACTCCTGGTTTACCTTGGATATCCTCATTCCTAATCTTATCCTTTCTTGTGTGCCCACACATCCAACAAAGCATTCTCATCTTTGCTACACCCATTTTATGTACGTATTGATGCTTCACCGTCCAGCATTCCGTGCCGTAAAGCATTGGCGGCCTTTTGCCGTCCTATAAAATTTTCCCTTGAGCTTCAGTGGCATACAACGGTCACACAACATGCCGGATGCACTCTTCCACTTCATCCATCCAACTTGTATTCTATGGTTGAGGTCTCCATCCAATTCTCCGTTCTTTTGCAAGATAGATCCTAGGTAGCGAAAGCGGTCGCTCTTTGGTACTTCCTGGTCTCCAATCCTCACCCCTAACTCATTTGGGCCTCCGTTTGCACTGAATTTGCACTCCATATACTCTTTCTTTGATCGACTTAGGCGAAGACCTTTAGATACTTCTCTCCAAAGGTTAAGCTTCACATTTACTCCTTCCTGAGTTTCATCTATCAACACTATATCGTTTGCGAAAAGCATACACCAAGGAGTATCATCTTGAATATGTCCCGTTAACTCATCCATTATCAATGCAAAAAGGTAAGGACTTAAAGATAAGTCTTGATGTAAGCTTACAGTTATGGGGAAGCTTTTGGTTTGTCCTTCATGAGTTCTTACGGCAGTTCTTGCTCCATCATACATATCCTTTATAGCTTGAATATATGCTACTTGTACTCCTTTCTTCTCTAAAATCCTCCAAAGAATGTATCTTGGGACCCTATCATACACTTTTTCCAAATCTATAAAGACCATGTGCAAGTCCTTTTTCATATCTCTATATCTTTCCATCGATTTTCGTAAGAGATAGATTGCCTCCATGGTAAAGCGCCCTGGCATGAATCTGAATTGGTTGTTCGAGACCCTTGTCTCTTGCCTTAGTTTATGCTCAATTACTCTCTTCCAGAGCTTCATTGTATGACTCATTAACTTAATACCCCTATAGTTCATGCAATTTTGTACGTCGCCCTTATTCTTGTAGATAGGCACCAGAGTGCTCTTTCGTCACTCATTTGACATCTTCTTCGTTTTCGGGCCCACTGTTTTTCTATGCTTCATCTTTTTCAAAGCTACAACCACTTCTTACATCCTAATTCGGCAGTAAAAGGAGTAGTTTCTACACTCTTCTGAGTTACTCAACTACCTTAAAGAAGTACTCCTTTCATGTCCTTCATTGAAAAGATTATGAAAATAACCTCTCCATCTGTCTTTGACCGCGTTCTCTATAGCAAGAACCTTTAACTGACATATTTTATATAGACAATTTTTTAGTTGAATTCTTGTTAGTAGTTGTTATGGATTAGTATTTGAGTTCTATTGTGTTCCCCTAATAATGTATGGAAGAATGAATTCTTTTTTATTTCATTGTTCAGTACATTATTTTGAGCTAACTCTTGGTTCTCTTATATCAGTTTGTAAAAAACTTGGTCACATCTTAGGTATCGAACTAATTCAGGTCTTATATCAGTATTTGAAAATATTGGTCACTTTCTTAGGTCTTCAAGCTCTTTTGTATTTATTTTCTTGGAAATGTTAATTTCACATGATTTAAACCAGTCAAGGCATGATTTAGACTTGGCACAAAGCCGAGTGTAGTGACGTTCTAGGATTCATACAGCCGACCCCACTCAGTGGATAAGGCTTTGTTGTTGTCAAGTTATGCTGCTGTTTAATTTCAATGATCCATCTCTTCTACAAAAGATTCATAATGTATGAGTTTTTATCTGTCTATATCTATCTTTCCGCAGGTGTTTGACTTCATTGTTCAGAAGCTTTATGCATTGAGAAAACCTAAAACAAATATCCAGATCCTTCAGCAGAATGTTCTTTTGAAGTACAAGTGAGTAGTTTCTTACAGTGTTCTCAATTCTATTTAGTTGGTTTCCATTAATATCACAAATTAATGGATCAAAGTCAAGTTGAATTCAGATCATTGAACCAACCCATTGACAGCCCCAGTTGCTGATATTCAGGGTGGCAGCAACTATTAAGGATAATGGTCTATTTACATGGGATATTAGAGGATTTGGGTAAAAGTTATGTTGCTTATTATTTTGATGCCGGGAAACAATCTGATTCACTTATGAGTTTGATCGTACGAGATAAATCAGACTGTGAAACTATTTGATTGTCTCATGAGTTTAAGATTAGGAGAAACTGGATTATACAGTCTGTCATTTTTATGTGTGTCTCACTCCTACTATCCTTTTTCTGGATTATGTGTTGGTAGTGCTAAATGATTGTAAAAAATAGTCTTCCTTGAGCTGTTCAGAACAAGTTCTCCATGGTGATATTGTTTCTGTATAAATATAGCATTCACTCATGTACCAGTAATGTGTGAGTGTGACATGGCCAAACATAGGTATCTGTTAAATGTGCATGCTGTTTTGGGTTTATTTCAGGTGCGAGTGCTGGTATCTGTTAGGCGTGTATAGATATTGTTATCAGATTGATTTTATTTTTGTTTTTTGATTTATTATTTGACTGATTCCAGTGTGACAATGTAGGTATGTTGTTTCCTTCCTGAAGGAACATGGCAAGGATGTATATATTGAGGTTCGCGGAGCATACATTGACACAATGAACAAGGTCAATACTTTTAAAAATGATGACCTGTCTTTGAATTATGATATTGAAGAACTAGAATACTGCTAGATGAATTACCATACATAAACAGGGAGTGTCACAACCTCATTGTCCATTTAACTTAAAATTCTCTCTGTTTTCTTCTATTATCAATTCTGGATTAGGTGATTTTGATTGTACATTTTGTTGATCTATAATACTTCCATCAAAGCCGAAGCTAAGCTTCATAAGTGTTTAACTGCAGATAGTATCCTACTTCATAAAAAATGCTTCACAAATTTATTTCTTTTTTTTCTGTTTTTCTTTTTGGGTACTGGTTACACAGTTTATAACTGTTTACTAGCAGATTACAAGCTTTATAAATGTTTACTTCCAGGCTGTATCCAACTTCATCAAAAAGCCTTTAGAAAGTCTTGTTTTTTAAGTTGAAGCCAAGTAAGTTTAAAGACCTTTCTCATTGCTTCATCTGACATCCAAATTACGCATTGCCTTCCTGTCATTTTGAGGACAGAAATTCCAAAAAAAAAAAAAAAACTACTTACATGAGATGTGAAACTCATGGTGGTCAGAGTTTTGATACACTTAGCTGCCCTATGCAACTGTACTATGATATCCAATGCAAGGGGAAGTTAGGGGAGAATGAAGCGAATGATCTGTTAGGTAGAAGGAGGGAGTTAAGGGACTGACTTTTAAGTTATGTATTTTACGGGTTTTAATATAAATAGAGACACAAGGAGTCGTTGAAGAAATTTAGAGCGGAAGAATGAGGATGATAGAAAAGAATGGAGTCAAAAACTAGTCAACCATGGCTAAATGCTCAAAAGCAAACCTATATGCAGAGAAAACACATGTTTACTGAGGAATTAATGTTTGAACCTCCTGACAAGAGGGGCATAAGAGAAAACACAAATTTATTTATTCACATGTTAATTGATTGATTAAATTTGATGCTATATTCTCTATTTTATAAAATTTGGTTTCAACATAGAAATAGTGTACAAATACTTTGTTTTATTCTATTGCTGCATGTTTATATGTTACCTTGTTTTAAACTGTTTACATTTTGTCCCACCAGTACTCTATGCACATTTGGCCTTTTTCTTTAATATTCTAAGGTTCATAACTTCATATAAAAGGGCCTTTCTGCATGGTTGAAATGACCCTGATATTTGAAGTTCATTCCTTGGTACCTCATTTTAACATTTAATGTAGCTTTATTAAAGGAGTTGGATAATTTATGCTATAAATACTATTGTAAAGGGTAATTGGTAGTGGCACATCTTTTCCCATTAATAAAAAATGGGGCAAAAAGAAAATGGATAATGTATGTAGTATATTGAAGTTCAGTTATATGTTTTGCAGGTTCTCAGTGCACATTTCCGCGCTTACATTCAAGCACTTGAGAAACTGCAGTTAGATATAGCAACATCTAGTGATTTAATTGGTGTTGAGACTAGAAACACTAGTCTCTTTTTAAGAGGAAGGGAACCACTGAAGAACCGGTCTGCTGTCTTTGCCCTTGGGGAGAGGAGAAAAATTTTAAAGGTTTTGTTACCGCAACTAACTCGTTAATCCAATTTTATACAAGCCCATGGGAAAATGATATTAACTTTATTATCTTTGCTAAAGGGTTGTTTCCTTTTTTCGTAAAAATAGTTGCGAAAAACTATCGACAAACTAATGCAACCTGTATAACTTATTTATGGCATAGCGATTATTATGCTGAATGTTGCCATTTTTGTCCCACTATTTTAGCAATGTGACATTACATGTTAGAACAGCCTGCTATATATGTTGAAGAATATAAAAATTGCAAGATAGGCTGGAGCAACAGAGGAGCTCTTCTGTTATGTTGATCATTGTATCATGATTCATGCCTTTATGAATGAAGAATGATCAACATTTTAAATCTGTTGTCATAATCAAATTGAGGAGATCTTTAACTTCTTTGGGCCTGTTGGTACTATTGATACTGAATGTCTTTGAGATGGGACTTGTTGGGAGCTTAGAATGAGTATATCTTTAATAGCTTTTGAATGGTTGGAATTGGCTGTCTAAAAACAGGCAACACTGTAAATGTAGTGTATTGTGACAAATGACATCTTTAATTGTGAGTATTTTAATTTTGATAAGGATTGTTATACTTCGTCTGATACTCCATATTTATATGTTCAATTGGTATAAATGTGATAGATGATGATTTTGTAATGGGCAGCTATTGTTAGTTTTCTTATAATGGCATTTTCTTTATATATCTTGCATGTAAAAAAACATGTCATGTTTGAATTTTGCTATCTGCCAGGAAATTGAGGAACCTGCATTGATTCCACATATAGCTGAAGCCAGCAACATCAAGTATCCATACGAGGTCCTCTTCAGGAGCTTGCACAAGCTACTTATGGATACTGCTACTTCCGAGTACGCTAGAGTTTGCCTCTGCTCCTCATTAATGGTTTCTAAAATGCTAATGGAAAATTGATCAAATAATGATATTTGTTTTCACAATTTTCCCCTCGTATATGCAGGTATCATTTCTGCGATGATTTCTTTGGTGAAGAATCCATATTTTATGAAATTTTTGCAGGTAAATCTGACAGCTATTCTTAATTCATCTTCTTATGGTTAAATATTTGGCAAAATGCATACTGATTATAAGTACAAAGAGCATAAACTTCTCCCAAATTTTAAAGCATTACTGGTGACTGTGTTTAGATTCAGATGATCACTTTGGATCATTTGAAGATCTCACTGTGCTTCTTTTTGAAAATTTGGTTCATTTTGATGACTTCTAATGTCTTTTAATGCCAGGCCCATTTTCTGTAATTGACGAGCACTTCAATTCAATACTTCCAAATTGTTACGATGCTATTGGGGTAATGCTTATGATTCGCATAATACACCAGCACCAGGTAGTGTTCCAGTTCCTAAGATCATATTTTTTGTATACGAGTTTAATCATGTCCAGAGTTGTTATTTAACCTGGTTGTCTGTATGTTGGTCTAGGTTTTCTCATTAATTTGTCTTGTTTCTTTTGTTTTTTGAGGTGTTTCATGGACTACTTGTCCATGCTTCTTGTATTCCTTGTGCTTTCTCTGGATCAATCTTGTGCTTCTAACTTTCTTATATAAATAAACCAAATAGTTTTAAATATCAGTTAACTTTTTTGGGCCTCCATATTGTCTGCATTTTTTTTTCTAGGTTTGGTCCTGATGTGAGTGTTCTTACTTTGTAGTTTGTACCACAAACTCATGACATGGTCATATTGTGCATACCATGTGGCATAGCCACATGTCACTTGGCTATAGATGTTGAACAGAAAGTGTTGGACAATTCTCATTCTAATGAGACCCTCAACCTGTGTTCTGTGGTGCGTTTGCTAGAAGATATTCTATTTCTGATTCTTTTTCCTTCCTTTGCAGCTCATTATGTCTAGGCGGCGTATTCCATGCTTGGACTCATACCTTGATAAGGTTTGTGTCCTTAATTTGTATGCATTCTAATCTTGTCATCTGCATTCTGCATGCATTTTCGTGTATTCTTAGATGGTTGACGATAGGTAAATGTAAAGAGTTACAAATTGCTAGTATTGACATATGTTTCTTCAAGTGGATCATATTGAAAGCACAGCTTGTATTCGGCTCTTATATCATAAATGCATGTAATGACTTTGCCGTCTGATTTGAAACATTAACAGGTCAATATTGCCCTATGGCCTCGCTTTAAGATGGTGTTTGACCTGCATCTAAACAGTCTGCGGAATGCAAATGTGAAGACATTGTGGGAAGATGATGTTCATCCTCACTATGTCATGAGGCGTTATGCTGAATTTACAGCTTCACTTATCCACCTCAATGTGGAATATGGAGATGGGCAGGTTAGATATAGAAAATGAACTTAAAAACTTAATGCTCAGTAAGATTCTTGATCACTTCATGGGCTTAATTATCCTTTCATGATTCGCAGCTTGAATTAAATTTGGAGCGACTGAGAATGGCTATTGATGACTTGCTTATCAAGCTTGCTAAATCATTTCCAAAACCAAAACTACAAACCGTGTTTCTGATAAACAATTATGATATGACGATTGCTGTGTTGAAGGTAAACTCAGTTTTGTAGTTTCTTTTGTCTTTTCAAAATTGAAAAGGAACATCAAGGAATCTATATCAACATGAAGGTGAAATTTAAACGTCTGGCAAAATTTCTTGAACATGCTCAGTCGTATCAGTTGCATGCTTTGGCTGCTGCTGTTTTTACAATTTTTGTCATTTGAATACTAGGAAGCTGATCCAGAAGGTGGTAAAATTCAAATGCACTTTGAGGAACTTCTGAAAAGCAACACGGCATTATTTGTGGTAAGTGCCTGGTCGTGCTATCTATCTTGCAGATAATGTTTTGGTGCAAATTGAAGGTTGCATCATGAGTTCGGGTATCAGCTAAACATTTTATCTTTCTAATTCATATTTGATATGGAACTTCGGTATTGCTTGCGTATTCTTTAGAAGCTTTTAACAAGAACATAAATGGAAGCATATCAAGTAAAAGTATTAAGTTGATAAAAGTCAATTTTACTTACAAAAGTAATGGTCCGTTTTTCATAGATAGGAAGGGATAACGATTTGCATCAGTGGAAACAGTTCTTTCCTTTAATTCACCAAGGAAGCTTTAAGGGGAAAGTTAATTGGTTATAGATTATATGTTTTTAAATTAAGAAGAAATTAGGTTTTATAGCCATTAGCCAATCAAATGCTTTCTCTACTTACCAGTATATTGTAATCAAAATGATGAGAATGGGAGAAATAACGCAAACGTATAGCCTCTTTTGATCTTTCTTCCCTTTACGGTATATGGTTTTGCTTTGCTTCTTTTGTTTTAAGCTTTCACCTCTCTCCTTGCAGGAGGAACTACTACTAGAGCATTTTGGTGATTTAATCAAGTTTGTTAAAACCCGAGCTTGTAAGTATTTTGATGAATAATGCTTTGGCGTCTTATACCCTTCTAGTTTCTTTATATTAATGTACTTATTTGCAATTTCCTTATCAGCGGAGGATCCAAGCGCTAGTTCTGAGAAGCCTATAACTGTTGCGGAGGTTGAGCCCCTCGTGAAGGACTTTGCAAGTAGATGGAAAGCTGCAATCGAACTGATGCACAAAGACGTCATAACTTCTTTCAGCAACTTCTTGTGTGGTATGGAGATCTTGAGGGCGGCATTGACTCAGCTGTTGCTCTATTACACTAGGCTCTCGGATTGCATAAAGAGGGTTGTTGGTGGGTCTGCTCTCAACAAGGATCTAGTGTCCATACCGTCAATCATGTACGAAATTAGAAAATACTCGAGGACTTTCTAGGTTGTTTCGGTTCATATGGGTTTCCTGCGTTTGGACTTTTGAGCATAATGTAACACTTGCAGTCATCAAAACTTGCCGAAGAAAGACAGTTACAGTGTACTTTTCGCCAATAAGCTTCTTCGTGATTGCTTTTGAATCTTTGGTTTGTCACCAAGACGCCATTGTTGTAGATTAGTAGGGCGTGATGGTACTTGACTTACTGTTATTATTGAGCTGAAGAGGGGAGCCATAATTAGGAGAGATTCTCTCATGCAACCAAGATTTAATACCAGTCATCGTCGTACAATAAATGTTTGCCATGTTTGGTGACATGAGAAAATCTCTCCGTAATTAGAGGGGTGTTCAAAGTGTTCATGTTCAACAATGACTTTGTTAGTCGCCACCAGCCAAAGGTCATGTTGAGCTAATTTCAAGAGTTTGACACGAATTTCTTCTTAGTACATTTTGCTTTCAAGAGTTTGACACGAATTTCTTCTTAGTACATTTTGCACGTCAAAATTTAGTCTTCGTTTGGTATTTAGGATTGAATTGATTGGATATTCTGCTAAATTAAAGGTATGTTGAAGGGAGATGGTAGGATCTGGTCAAAGCAAAAGAAGAAATTGCTCAAAGCCTTCCTTTGAAATTTTGTTTCCACTGTTTCCAGAGACGTTTGGACACTTTTAGTCACGCAAAACACCTGTCCCACTGAGTGTGCCAACACATGATTTGGCTTGAGTATTTCTTTCAGTCTCAATGCCAAGAGAAGATTTGTGAGGAAAGATGATTGCATGTAGATCTGACAATTTCTTACACGATCCATTAATACGACATGTAAACGACACGAAAATAATAAGTTTTGGGTCAACATGATAATTAATCGGGTCATTAACAGGTTTACATGAGAATGACACGTGGGTAACCTGTTTCGACGTGATAAGAAAAAAATTATTTTGGTGATTTTAATTTTTTGAACAACTAAAAAAAACTTACTATAAAATACAATAGATATAATGAATATGTATTTATTGTTCATTAATTATTATTCTATATAAAATTTAAAATTTAAATTTTAAGTTTTATTTATTTATTTATTTTTATAGTGTATTATAGGCAAAGATTGAGATTAAAAATCATAAAACACATTAAAAATAAAAATATCAAGTAATTTAAAATTACCAAACACATTAAAAAAAATTATAATAATTAATTTACATGTGTGAAAAATATGAAAAAAAATATGCAAACGCTCATAGTCGCATCCTCTACGCTTTGAGGATGGGTATATGATCTTTTGAGTTTTTAAAACCATACAAACTCTCATGAATAGTATTTTAAGGGAGTTCAAAATAAACAAAATTCATAATCATTAATGTATAAGTCTGAAAGATGTGAAAGCATAATAAATATTTATAATTACATCCTTAATGTTGAGATGATGGTTACATGGTCATTTAGATTTTTAAAACCCTCCAAATCTCATGAACAATGTTTTTATTTGAGTGCAAAATTAATAATAATTATTGTAGAAGTGTGAAAAATGTAATCACTCGTAATGAAAAGTGTTACAACTTTCATGAAGGGGTTAACTCCGAAATTTAGTATGTATATACTGATTTAGTATTATGTTTTACATTTTTTTGGGTCAAATTATGTTTTTCATTTTCATTTTTATTGATTTAAAATATATTTTTCTTAACGGGTAACGGGTCGGGTCATATTACCTGATAATATTAACGGGTTGATTTCCGGTCAAGTCATATTACCCGTTTACTTTAGACACGACCTGTTAAGCTATTGGATATGACATGAAAACGACAAGAATACGAGAAACACGACACGAATGCTAGGTCTAATTGCATGTGTGCCACTGTTAGAGGCTGTCAAAAGACAATGTATGTGTGGTGATTTTGTAAATTTGTACGAGATCTCTAAATCAAACAATTGAGACGCTGGTTCAGTTAAGTTACTTTTTATGTCTTAATGCGAGGACTTTTGGGTTTTCAATGTGTCGTGCTTGCCTCAAAGAATACAAAGACTATGAGCCAACTAAAAGGAATACGCATGAATGTAAGAATGAAAGCCGTGATACTGCTAAATCAGATCAGTGAACTGGGTTAAGTGGAGAACATTTTGCCTCGGAGAGGAAAACTTGGTTGAAATGTCCATCAACTAGAACCATACAATAGTCATGAATTTTGAGGTCTTGGCTCCAACTTTTGAGACGAAGGTTTGACGATTTTATGTTTATTCGGATTTTTGTACAATTCCTCTTTGTCTGCACCGTTATCCATACATCCCCTTCATTTAATTAAATTTGGACTTCAATTTTGAAAAGGTAGTTATGGGAACGAGATCCATTATGTCATATTCTTTTGTCTAACCGTTACCAATTACTCTATTAAAAAAATTAAACGAATTTAAAAATGATATAAAAATTTTAAGAAAGACGGCCTGGACCTTGACGTGTTCATTTCTTATCACCATTATTTAGTGTAGTGTATACTTATTACTTTATTTATTATTATTAGATGAGTTTGAATTTTGAAATTTGTGCTTGTCCACTAGAATCTCGAAATTCAAACTTATCTAATAATAATAAATAAGATAATGAATATACACCACATTAAATGGTAGTAAGCAAAAATGACAACTTGACTAGTCCTGTCCCATTCCATATTCCTGTGGGACCAATAATCTTGGACCCACATATCGCCACGTTGCAGAACCTCAACTCTCTCTCTCTCTCTCTCTCTCTCTTCCTGCTGTATGTCGCCCTCTTAGCCTCTTGTTCGAATGTAAATTTTAAGTTCTCCCTCTCTCTCTCTCTCTCTCTCTCTCTCTCTCTCTCTCTCTCTAAAAACTACCAATAACGGAAACCAAAGCAAATAAAACTTACTCGGTTTCGTTCTGTTGAAGAAAACAGAGTGGAATGGTGTCTGAGAGAGCTCTGCCTCTTCCGAGTTCAATATCGTTGGATGGCTCATCGTAATTCCAGATCCTAAAATCTCTCCCCCTCCCCCGCCCATCTCTCTAGAATCTCCCCGTTGCTCGTCTGTCATAACCCACATTTGAATTCCCCAAAAGGGTAAATATTTTCAATTCAAAGTTATAGTCTTGGATGGCTTTCGTTGGAATTTACCTACCTTTTCTATTTATGGAATTAACCACATTGGCCCCAGAAATTTTCGCTACTTAGTCACCCTCGCTCTGTTGTTCCTTTTCCGCCATTTGATTCCGTTCTGCATTGCCTGATTCCCCAATTCACATTCTTTCTGCAGGTTTGATTCCTTCTCTCTCTCTCTCTCTCTCTCTCTCTCTCTCTCTCTCTAATTCCCACTGGATAAAAAGCATTGGCCTTTTTTGAGAAAAAGTTTCCTGCTTGGGCTTGATTGTGATTGAACGACTTGTTTTCGATCTGGGTTTTTGTAATTTGTGAATTTGGCATTGGGGGATTCTTAATATCAACTGGTAGTGTGGAGAAATCCCCTCATTGGGTTGTTGGCATTGGTGGAGTTTTCTTGAATTTGGGGATCTGTGTTCTTTTGTGAGTTATACTTTTATTGTTCTCGGTAGGTATTCGTTTAGAACCGTCGATTCGGAGATCTGGATTCTCTGCCATTTCCCTTGGTTTGTAGAAAATTGAGTTGAACTGCTGGTTGTGCATTTCGTATTCAAGAACTAATCTGAAGGGTGCATTCATTATATAGAAGTTGTTGATTGGAGAAATTAAGTTTTTGATCAGTTGAAAGTGGTGATGCAATGCTGATCGGATTACATGCTTTCGCTGCAAAAATCTCGGCCTGAGAAATGGTGTTTTGCACTGGGAAATAGATGAATTTTGCAGTATTCTTGTTGGAATAAGGGACTGTGAAGTAGAATAATGGGCTGCATTTGCTCAAAAGGAAGGTCAGCCAATCAGTATGTTTCTGAGAATCATCGTAGAGACAAAGAACAAAAATCAAACAAGTCTTCAAAAGGGTCAGAAGCTGCAGTTGGGGCTGATGCAACTGCGCGGTTGATAACCAATCCCCGCACAGAAGACAATGCAGGGTCAACTCCTATTTCATCGGATGAAGGGGAGAAGAAGATGGTGGTTGCTGAGAATCCCACAAAACCCTTCATGGAGGGTGGGGCAAGTGGGGGAAAGTTACCGTCTGGGCTGACTAGGATAACCAGCGTAACAAATGGAGAAAGAGGTGCACAAGTTATTGCTGGATGGCCTTCTTGGCTGACTGCAGTGGCAGGTGAAGCGATTAGTGGATGGGTGCCTCTCAAGGCAGACTCATTTGAGAAATTAGAAAAGGTCTGTTTGTTTGCTTTTATATCTGTAATCCTCTCGTTTAATAACAATGTATTACGTCTCCTACATTTTAAAAATTTCAGGTGTGAATATTACATGTTTATTGTGAATCTCTGATTCTTTTCATTTACTTTTCAGAGTAAATTAAAATTTTGGGGTTTGTTTTGGAGTTTTGCTTTAAGTTTGTACCAAGAGCATAATGCGCATTTAGTTTTTTGGTGACATGCTTTAGAAAAGTCTTAATTTGTCAGATTGATTTGCTTACAATTGTTGTCAGGTGGTGTCAGTAGATTTTTATTTGTAAGGAGATATATATGCTTGCACATTCTGATGGTAAATTTAATAGCATTCTGATAGTAAATTTATCATGCATATTAAGATTTTAAAGTAGGTTAGATGCACTCATACTGCAAAAAAAAAAAAAAAAAAAAAAAAAAACTAAAACTAGCTGCTTCTTATTGAAGTTTTCAGCTACAAAGCCTACAATACTAATGGATCCCATCTATGCTCACTGTTGCATTGATACCTTGTTTGTGAGAACCACATGAAACCAAGAAGTTTGAAACTACTCCACTCTTGTCGGTGTCCACATTAAGGACATTTTATTTTAGTCCTATTTCTAGTGATTTTTTTCTGTTCTGCGTATAATGCAGATTGGACAAGGAACTTACAGCAGTGTGTACAGAGCCCGTGATCTTGATTCAAACAAAATAGTTGCACTGAAGAAGGTGCGATTTGCCAATATGGATCCAGAAAGTGTGCGTTTTATGGCGAGAGAAATTCTTATTTTGCGTAGGCTTGATCACCCCAATATCATGAAGCTTGAAGGTCTGATTACATCAAGGGTTTCGGGCAGCTTATACCTTGTCTTTGAGTACATGGAGCATGATCTTGCAGGGATTGCAGCACGACCTGGGGTCAAATTCACTGAAGCACAGGTCTTTTCATCCTTCTGATCTTATTTTTATTGTAGTAGCAGGATGGTTGACTAATCTTTTCTTGCCGTTGACATGTGTTGTTTGTGCGCTGGGTTGCAGATTAAGTGTTACATGCAACAGCTTCTCCGTGGACTTGAGCATTGTTACAGTCATGGTATCTTGCACCGTGACATCAAGGGATCAAATCTTTTGATCGACCATTATGGCAACCTCAAGATTGCTGACTTTGGGCTAGCAACCTTTTACCGACCCCGCCAAAAGCAGCCCCTGACAAGTCGGGTAGTAACCTTGTGGTACCGACCACCTGAACTTCTGCTTGGCTCTACGGACTATGGGGTTGCTGTGGATTTGTGGAGTGCTGGTTGTATTCTTGCAGAATTATTTGCTGGGAAGCCTATCATGCCAGGAAGAACAGAGGTATTTTTCCCAGCTTCTTCATGATATATACACCTAAAACTATAAACGTATTTATATTTATGTCCGCTTGCTTCACATGTATTAGATGTGGAAAAAAAAAAAACTAGATATTCAGTCATCTTAAACTCCCAACAGCAAACTTTGAATTTAGTATCTTTGTGTGTGAATGTGTTATCGGTATGAGAGGGGAGTATAAACACAAAGTCTTGCTTACGTGTATGATAACTGGTTTTTCCATAATGGTCCAAAATAGGCCACAGCTGCATTGTTCTTTTTTTGTTTCTTCCCACCATCATTTGATAAATATATGCGCTGTAACTTAGAATGTAAGCATGAAGAATTTGAACTACTCTGAGATGCAACTCTAGTCGTTCAAGAGCATGAGCTTGATGTTTGGCTGATTCGAACATATTATGTAACCAGATTCTAATGAATGTCATATTGTATGGTTAAGCCCTTGTGCTCTACCATGAATCTAGCAACTATACCAATGGCTATTTGATTGTGATGAGATCTCATTGTTAATTTTTTTTTTTTTTTTTGAAGGTGGAGCAACTACATAAGATATTCAAACTTTGTGGCTCACCTTCTGAAGAATACTGGAAGAGATCAAAATTGCCACATGCAACTATTTTTAAACCAGCACATCCCTACAAGCGATGCGTTGCTGAGACATTCAAGGACTTCCCTCGATCCGCATTGGCCCTGTTAGAGGTTCTTCTAGATGTAGAACCTGAAGGTCGGGGAACAGCTTCTTCTGCCCTTCAGAGTGAGGTAATCATGGGTTTTCTTTGATTTTGGAAACCATGCTGCCTATTTCTGTTCTATTTTGTGATCTTGTCAATTTGAAACAATTTTGGAAATTAGATCTTACTTCTGATCTATTTTTATTTATTTTTGTTTCCCAGTTCTTCACATCTTTGCCTCTTCCCTGTGATCCATCAAGTTTGCCCAAGTACCCACCGAGCAAAGAGTTTGATGCCAAGCTCCGAGACGAGGAAGCTAGAAGGTGAGCTATTTCCAAATTGTATTAACTAATTTTCAGGTCCTTGTGCAAGCGTTGGTTACGAAATCTCTGTACTCATACTGTTAAAGAGTATGTATATACAGAGAGAATAATGTTCTCTTGCTAGATATTTCACATGTTATGTTGCCAAGATGTTAATCTGGCACCACACATTCAAACAAGAGTCCACCTAATTAATGGAAAGAGATGTGTATGTGTGTTTTGAGTCAAGATCAGTCTTGTTTTTACTTGCGCTTGAAAATTATTCTCGTCTGAACCAGGCGAAAAGCAGCTGTTGGGAAAGGTGGGAGTTCCAAAGACTCAAAGGCTGTGCCAGCATCAGATGCCAATGCAATACAGGTATTATTCCCTTACAAGTTTGTAATTATATCTTCATGTTTTTAAATACAAAACTCAAATTGTTGCAAAGAATTATTTATTTAGGTTCTAAACATTTTGTTGTATGTATTTTCTAATCTTGAAGCGACAAGGACAGGCTAACCCCAAAAGCATCAGTGAGAAGTACAATCCAGAAGAGGATAGCGGCTCTGGCTTTCCTATTGAGCCTCCCAAAGGAGCAGCACCAAATGCCTTCTCCCATTCTGGCCAGTCAGTGCACCCAAGTGCATTTGGATCTTTGCAATCTGGCCACTCTAAGAATGGTGCGGAGTTTAGCAGGCAGAAATCTTACATGTATCGTGGAGCTGCCCAGTCCTCGAGGTTTTCTAATTCAGCTTCAGTTCGAAATGGTTCACGGTTTGATGGTAATATAGAAAGTGCAAATCCACATTGGCCAGAGGAGCGGATAAATGGAAGATATAACTATTTAGACAACGGGGATTCCTCTGCGAAACATGATTGGTCCCGCCATTTTCTGGAAAGGCCAAGGTCTTCCCATAAGAAGGATGAACAGCCATCTGGGAAGGAGTCTGCAATGGTAAAAGAGTTTACCATTTTCATCTATTGCATGTTTAATTTTAAAAGTCTACACCTTTGTTCACTGCCGTTGTAGAATTTAATATTTAACATGAATAATACTAAATCATTTTCCGTTTGGTATCAGGGTTATACTAACAAGAAGAACCGGATTCACTACTCTGGACCATTGATGCCCCCTGGAGGAAACATTGAGGAGATGCTCAAGGAGCATGAGAAACAAATACAACATGCTGTCCGCAAAGCTCGCCTGGACAAGACCAAAACCAAGAAAGCTAACAGTGACAATGGTCAAACAGAATCTCTACTTCAGCATGTAAGAAACGGCAGGTGATGACAAAAGAGAGAATTGCACTGCCTTAATTTTGAAAGCCGGAGCTGCTCAGATCGGCATAATTCTGATACTGAAGAAATATTCCTTTCGAGAACTTGATAAATCTCATCACGGAAAGATAAACTGGGACGCATGGAGCTCCTTGTGATTATATCACATCGAATATATACTCGATTTATGAAGGTACGCCGTCAACTCAAGTACTAATCATCACATGCTAGAGTTGATTCAGAACGAGTATTAATCTTGCATTCGAAGTGTCTTAAATCTGCGGGCATTGACTTATAACCTGCTCCTGAATGATGGTATTTGTTATTGACAAACCGGAAAATGTTTCGTGGGCAGATGGCGAGAGAAGATCGTTGCTTTGGTGTTGAGATGCTGGAGACAAGCTGAAAACCTATCTGTTCAATCAGCTCTATTACATTCCTTGTAAAGTAAAAGGTTAAGTTATATGATTAGGTAGAAGGTTTTGTCATCACATTCACAAGTGCATATAATTAAGGATAAGCTCCGACGTGTGCAGTTTGTTTGTCGTAGATTAATTTTTTACAAGGTAATATTGTAAGCTATTTTAATTTAAGGAGATGAACATATGAACTTGGGTGCAAGGCAGGGACGGTGTATTGCGCTAATTGGCCTAACTCACATTACTTCTCACACTCTTTTAATTTCCGATCGTGGAAATTTATTAAAGAAGAAAAGACAAACTAACAAAGGGTGTGTGGAAAGTAAAAATTAGTGTAGATAGCATCACCCTTGTTTTCTTGCTTGAATCAAAATCCTGGAGTCCCCTTCAATAATAATTTGATTAAAACTTAAATCCATTTCTGTGATTAACTATGAAGACTATGAATAAAATATATCTAAACTAACAATGAACATGATAAAAATACAAAAATTGATTACAAAATGGATAATGCTAAGGGAGACAAAATTTCTAAACCAAATGATGTGTCACCAATAAGAAATAAACACGTTAATCAATACTTAACAGTCCAATTATCGACAACCACATCATTTGATTTAAAAAATTTGTTCTCCCTAACATTACCCTTACAAAATAATATTTTGCTTTTGTAAATAACTATAAAGAATTGAAATTTTTTAAGCTAAGAACATTTTGAAAAAAAAAAAAAAAATTTGGATCAGAAATCCAAAATTCCTATAAATATTTTTGGAATATTAGGAATCCCTATATTCATTTCACTTTCCATATAAGAGAAAAGTATACATTTGGCAATTTAAGATTCCAATAAACTAAATTAATGAGTGTAAACTGAAGAAAGAGTAGATGGTAAGTTAATTAATTAATTAATTAAATTACTTTTCTTTTTCCCAAGAAATAATTACATGTATGAACTATTCATGGTTAGTTTGTAAACACATGGCACGAATCTATAGCGGGGTAACGCTACACCCTGAGTAAGAAGGATAAGCAAAAACGAGCTTTACTATGTATGATAATTATGATACGTTTTTGGAGTGTAACAACTCCATAAATAAACCTAGTACCCTATCATCAACACCTCCTAACTCAGGAAATTAAGCAGCCACTAAACAAATCTCAGATTTAAAAATGGCCAAACAATCGAGACCTGCAACCAAATGGAACTCATAGATCTACCAACCTTAACTTGTTCCCTTTGCTTCACAAAGAATCCTAGCAGCTCTTATGTCTTGATCAATTAAGCATCCGAACCAACTTCCTTCCCTTCGTGTTTAAGCATCCATTACAAGTACTACAACGCAACGCCTCCTCATCAACCCAGTCTCTTTCTTCCTCCAACTCACTTTACCAAATTAATCAAAACCGTTACATATACATACTTGCATATATATACATATATATATATATGTATATGTATATACGCACACACATATATATGCATGGTTTAGGGTTCCAACCTCTCATCTTAACCTATTTCTCTCCACACATACTGATCAAAGACACAAAAAACCAGATAAAACCAGCCAAACCATGAGAACCAAAACCTATCCAACTTTCAATGTTAAGCTTCTCCTCCTTGGAATTTTCCTTGCTTTGGTTGTCATCTTTGTCTTCAGGTCAAGTTCTGATTCATCACCAGCTTCCTCCAATGAAAAATCCCCCATTTCGGGGAAAGAAGCCGTAGATGATCACGAAAAATCAACTAGTTGTGAGTCCACAATGACTTGCAACAAGATTCCAACCTCCCTAGCCAAAGCCCTAATCCACTACACAACCTCCACCATCACCCCACAACAAACCCTAAAAGAAATCTCAGTCACATCCAAGGTCTTGGACAAGAAATCGCCCTGCAACTTCCTCGTCTTCGGCCTAGGCCACGACAGCCTCATGTGGACTTCCCTCAACCACGGCGGACGCACCATTTTCCTCGAAGAAGACGAGTCATGGATAGAGCAAATCCGGCGCCGCTTCCCCACTTTGGAATCGTACCATGTCACATACGACAGCAAAGTGAACGAGGCTAACAGTCTCATGGATGTTGGGAAGGGGCCTGAGTGCACTGCAGTTGGTGATCCTAGGTATAGCGTGTGCCAGCTGGCACTCAAGGGGTTGCCCAGTGAAGTGTATGAGATAAAATGGGATTTGATCATGGTGGATGCACCCACAGGGTATCATGATGAAGCACCAGGGAGGATGAGTGCCATTTATACGGCTGGGATGATGGCCAGGAACAAAGAGGGGGGAGAGACTGATGTGTTTGTGCATGATGTGAATAGGGATGTGGAAGATAAGTTCTCCAAGGCTTTTCTTTGTGAAGGGTACATGAAAAAACAAGAAGGGAGGTTGAGGCACTTCAATATTCCTAGTCACAAGGATAGTTCCAACAGGCCCTTTTGCCCTGAGTAAATAATTCATGTGTTTTTATATTTTTTTGCAAATTAATTCATGTTTCATATTGATTTTGATTGTCTCAATTTGATTCCATCCATTTAAGCGTTTCTTTCTGTTTCTTTTTTTACTCTATGGCCATCCATCCTTAAGTGATTAAGAGTACGTCTAGAACTTTGAAGGTCGTCGGGCCCTAGAATGAATATAAACTATGAAAACCTTTGCTTTTCTTGTTGTGTTTATCTTTCACTCAAGACTTCCTTATATAGTGGTTCGGAAGAGTGGAGAACGACAAATTAGCCCATAAAAATCCTAATTATATTCCAGTATGAATATCTCTTAATTTTCTTCTAACTATCCCAATAATAATAAAGATAAATTATATCAATCAAACACCCTCATTTAGATGGATTAACATTTTATTTTTCTAATAGATAAATCCTACAATGATCAACAAAGTCCCACCCGGATAGTTTTGATAAGTGCTTCTCCAAGAGTATTCCATTGTACGATTGACGAAGAGGACACTACTTCATCTTCTCGTATATCTATAAAAATCCTTTTTCAAAAAACAACAGGGAAATTTTGTTTCTTCATCTCAGTTTTATTTGACCAAGTATAACAATAATCTACTTAAATTGGAGATAATGATGGCACACAAGTTAAGAGAACGAGATGTGATGATCAACATTAAATTGACTGTAAGACCCCATCTGTAGATGACATCACAAACCAACTTAATAACGAAGCCATAGTAAGATATTTATGATGTGTAAGAATTTGAATCAAAAAATATTCATTGAAATAATAAATCCAAAGCTGCTACATAAGCACTTATCATCATTCTTACTTGGGGACACGTATTATCTCGGGTTTGACCCCGTTATTAATCACATCACACCATAACAACTAGAAGTTTCATACAGCAGTAAATAGTAATATAACAAAGTGCAGTGCTATGCATAATCAAAAGTGCGATCATGCAATAATTATTACAACATAGAAAAAACTGTAGTCAAGGAGCCATCAACCCAAGGGATGAAAGCCTCACTGCCAAGCCCACTGATGTTCTCCTTAGTCTCGTTACACCCTGAAGGGGTCGATAAAACAAAACGTGTGTGGACCAGTTTTATCATAATTATAAAATCTTCATTTAAACATAATAACCCCTGTTTGGAAAACATATATAGTGAAAAACTATATAATATAATACTACCATAATAGTAAAGTCTCATTCATCAATATCAACGAAAAACCATCAAGTCAAATCCATAAATCATACATTCAGTCAATCAGTCATGCTAGCATCTACTAACATAAGTATAGCAAGTAGGAAATATACTAGCATCAACTAGTTAATCTCAATAACGCTAATAATCATCAACCCTAGCGTCCACTAGGACAAATTTAACCTGCAAACAAATCTACGGCCGAAGATAACTATACGACTCATCACCTGATGACCATGTGGTAAAAATAGATCATGAATGATATAAAGATATTATCAATATCGTCACTAATCTCGTCAGAGACTTAACATATTAATATGCATCCACATATTAAGCATATATAAGCATGTGTGTGTATATATATATTAATGACTAATTATGAATAAGCATTGCTATTTTTCAAATTTTAATCATTTGACATGGTGATTATTACCATGATAAAGTGGTCGTATGAGGTGGTGGCGACAACAATGCTGGTACAAGTGTCACGTGGTAATTGTTGGCAAGATAGTGATATTCTATGTATTGTCTTAAGTGGCTGCAATAGTAGTAGGGATGGTGATTGTGGTGGCGACATGGTGATGGGGTGGTGGAGGATTGGGGGTGGGGTTGTGGTGATGATAGTGGTAGAGAGAAGTGAAAGGAAAGAGCTTCACAACAAGGAGGTATATACGGTCGTGCAAGGTTACTTATTTGACAATTTTGTGATATTTAACACTCAATTAGACACATGTGAACTGTTGTGAAATATGATTGTTGCAATTGAATTAGGATTTGTGGTTATCTCGTTTGTAAAATAAGTATGTTAAGTTGAATCGAACTGAACTGCAGTACGTAACACACCAATAGGGTCAACAGTGGGAAAAGAACATGTCAATTGAACATCACTGGTGTGTCGCGCCATCTCAGCAGTCATGTTAGTCTGTAACATTATATCTTGCATCTCTTTCCTGATGTCTGTGTGGTGATGTATTACTAGTAATTTTACAATGAGGGAATATGAAAACATGAAGTTACGTTTTATATTCCTTTGTGTGCCTTTTTAAACCCCAAAGGAGTCTCCCAATATTCCACTATTTAAGTGGATTAGATGTTCCGTAAAGCGTACGAAGCTTGGATTTGTCAGGAATTCTGATTGATTGAACTTTGATCTTGATCCATGTGGAACTGAAATTCTATTTGAATTACAACGGAGTTTGTGAGACTTTTCTAGAAATTTTGATAGAATTTGTGGATTGACACATATATTTTAATGACTAATTATGAATAAGCATTGATGTTTTTCAAATTTTAATCATTTGACATGGTGATTATAACCATGATAAAGTGATCATATGAGATGGTAGCGCCAACAATGCTGTTTTCCAAATCTTTTCCTTTTTATGTTGAATAATAACTTAATTTCAGAAGAATTTCCCATGGAGCTTTGCATGCTCCAACTCAAACAGGCTATAATTATGTCCACTTTCCCATTTACAACCAACGGTTAATGCGTTTTTTTTTTCTTTTTCTAAATGGGTTAAGAAAATATTTGTAGAAGTGAAAATTTAAACTTGGGAAATCTGTACTGTTTCGTGTCATCTGTTCTTAATTATCTCGTTACCGGTTTTTCTCCATTGTAAGAAACAAGTATATATTGCTACATTTTGTTATGCTTGTTTTAGTTTCCAACTAGAAAAAATGCCCGCGCGATGCTGCGGGGCTTGAATGCATCACCTTGAACTGCATTGTACAATTAAAAGGACGAAACGAAACGTTTTGGTTAGCTAATATATAGAATAAACAAAAGTAACACATAGTTTACAGACATGTTGCCCTTGTAGCGAAGGTGAAAAAATGTATATCTTCTAGGTTAGGTACATGTTTGAGTAGTTGACAAAAAAAGATATAGACTGTTTTGTTCTCATTCTAGCATCTAAGTTTCCAAGCACAAACGTGCAAAGCAAAGAACATGCAGGTGTTGAAGCAAAAATGTTGCTAGCTGAAAAGATGTAGAACGGCTTACAGAGATTGCATTGTTCACTTTTTTTTAGAGTGGACATCTTCCGCACTATAGCAAAAAACTGATAACTGCAAGCAATAGAGCAGATAATATTAAGATCGAAATGCATTCTGGAAACCATGGGAAAACTGTAAAAGTAAAAAAAAACTGTGATGGTCGAATGGATTAAATTTGTGAAATTGCAACAAACAAAGGGTAAATGTCATAAAGGTTTAACTGACGACCAATCATTTATACTTGATAATATTCTAAATTATCAGCCGGATAAAGCTGTTAAAATGTGTTTTGGAATCAGTCCTTTCACAGCATGTTTATCCACGTTGTTTTTTTTTTAACTGCCTTTTATTTAGAATTGCAAGTTATGGCTATAATTAAATTATCCAGTATTTCTCATCTAAAATTTTCCAAACAAAAAAACACATCAAGGACAATTATGCAACTCCAAAGCACAAATGTTAACTTCTAGATACAATGAGATACACATGCTCATTTCAGAAATGGAATCCATATAAAACCATAATCCATAAAAACTGCAATAGTTAAACTGCAAGCTAAATCGATTAAGTAATCAGAAGGTAAACACACCAATTTTCAAACAAAGTGAAGAAATTGAAATTGTCTTATAAAAACTAACTAAAAGTTTATGTAAATTCATTGTAATATTATCTAAGAGGCTACATAGAATGTTAATATTGCATGATACAAAAGCAATGCAAAATCTACATGTTTAGGTAACATCATTATGCTTAAGAAACAGAAAGCATCAGAACAACATCAAAAGTTACAAACTTGCAGAATCCCAAATTACACTTTCCCATCGAGACAATTTCTTAACTAATGTAATTTGTGTGGTTTTCGTAAAAATATTAACTTGGGTAAAATCATATTCCACAAAATTAGAAATTGGGGAGTGAAATTAAACACCAAAACTTCACAGGCAACCAGCAGATCATGGAGCTAATATCCTACGAAAAAGGTTAGAAAAACAGATATCATACAGTAAGGAAGAAGCTCAAAAAAGGCAACCGAAACACAACTATTTAGACAACATACATCAATTTTCACGAAGCATTTAGCACAAATGTCAAAAGATACACCAATTGACAGAAACCAGTCATAAACACCATCAGGAAGCAATTTGTATAAACTTTACATTCCTCACTCAAACAATGAAAGATAATAAAAAAAAGAACAATACCTTTTATTCCATTACAATTTGAGCATCCAATCCGAAACCAATTGGTGATGGGTGGAGATGCCCGAGATCATTCAAACTATTTACGTAAGGCTTGAATTCCCAAAATGGGATTCAACATCTCAAAACAAATGACTTTAAGATCACCCTTTTACCTTTAGAATCAAAACGATACAGCAAGGGCAGGCAAACAAATCCCTCGAAATGGGCCCTAAAAATGACTTATACATTCTTTCTCACTTACCCATGTCCCATCTCTCTCTCTCTCTCTCTCTCTCTCTCTCTCTCTCTCTCTCTCTCTCTCGCACAAATAAAACCCCAAATATAATCCCTGAAATCTCACCCAAACGTAATCCCTGAAATCCCCTCTCTGGGACATGCCCCACCTCTCCGTGTCTGACCCCTAAACCAAATCCGTAAAATCCTACTCTCTCTCGTTGCAAATCACACAAATCAAACCCCAAATCTAATCTGTCAAATCCTCTTGCGATACGCCAAACCTCTCTCTGTTAGAACCCTAAACCAAACCACTTGCAGGCATAAAATTATGCAAAACATAACAGAAAATAGGTAATTTCAAAAACATGGTGGACAACCATAAAACTCACAAAAACATAGTGGAAAACCATAAAACTCACTTTGCGAAACAAAACTTTTGGTGGCTGTTATTTAACATTAGTCATGTTTATAGATATGCATGCACGTACACAAACAGATGCATATATACACATGCACGCATGCATGCATACCTATATAGGCATGTACATACACACATAGATGCATACATACATACATATACATGTACATACAAACAGAGGTGCGTACATACATATGTACATACACATTTATATATGCACACATATACATGTAGCTATACAGATGCCTATATATATATATTTAGATATATACTTAGGTATATATTGATACATATACTTGCACATACATTTGTACATAGACATACAACAAATTTTGATAACCACAATCAAAGCAACAAAAAAACCAAAAGCAAAAATTCAATGCTTTAAGTAGAAAAAGTTAAGTTTGGTTGTTAAACCCATTCCTAAAGATGAAGTCAAGTATTCATAATCAATCATTGTTGTATCAACAAAAAATTAGAAGGAAAAAAATTCTAATGACTGAAACAGATGATTGTGAAAGGGTTAGGATATACATGCTGCTAGGAAATCCAGATTCCGGTGGATGAGACTCTGTTTCTGAAAAAAGTGCGTATACTTGAGCTGCAAGGATACATCGCATAGTAAAGAAATTGGAAGGAAAAAGAGTTTGTATTGAAACACAGTAAAGAGATTTGCATCAGAAATTACTTTGTATAAACAAAATTTAAAATGGATAGATAGATACCTCACTAACGGTCTGTCTTGTGGCTGCTGTGTGAATGGATGGTTTGATCTGTATGGTTGTGTTGGATTTACATGCATATCAAGAATGAAATCAAAAGTTAATTTCAAAAATATATCAGAAACCAAGAAATGAAAAAACAACCTAGCAACATATGGATTCGAAAGATGTGAAGTGGAAAATGAACCTGAAGATGATTTGTTAAGAAGCAAACAGTAGGAAAGTATGAAGAAACACAAAAAAATGAAAACAGTGCAACCCCTTTGTTTATAAAGACAGAAATATCAGCTAAACAGTGAACTAAACAGTGAGCTAAACAGCCTACACACCCTAATTTAAATGCAATAAACTTAAAAAGGAGTCTTAATTTTGTTTACTCATAAGCAAAGGAAAATAAAATTATGAAAAACAGAAATATCAGAATTTTCAACACTATGTAGTCCCCTTATTTGCAAAGACTAAGAGGAAAGTCTAATAGGTAAGTAAACAATTTTAAAATATCTAAGACAGCTTTAATGAAGGAAAAATTAGCCATGCCAATTTTAATAAAGGGAATGGTAAATCAAACAGTAAACAGCAAAATTCAAACAATAAACTTTGTAAATTAAGGTGCTTTTTTACTTAAATTCTTTTTGTTTTGGCGTCAACCTTTCATTTTGCTGTAAATTCAAGTGTTTTCCCTCTCTGTTGATCCAGCCGCTTATACTTGTCAAATGTTGGTTCTTCTTATGCAAATATTGATATATTTAACAGGTAACAACTACCTATATGCAATGGAGCACCAGAAATTAGTGTACAGTATGGTTATTAGGACAATGGATTAAATTTTAGGATAAGTTTGGACATGCAGCTAACCTAGAGGTGAACTAAACAACCTACAAATGACTAAGAGGAAACCCTGATAGTTAACTAAACAATATAAAATATCTATGAGAGCATTAATGATAGGAAAAAATATCTATGACAATTTTAATAAATGCAATGGCAAAGCAAACAGTGAACAACAATTTAAAACAATAAGTTGAAATAGAGTTAACCCTAAGATGACCTAAAAATCTACAACGATCTATTGATAATTTTAATGAAAGAACACAAAATCTGTAACAATTGCTAAACAGAAAAATGATGAATCATACAAAAATTTATCAAGAAACAAATAAATTAAATCAGTGCAAGGCCCTAATTTACAAAAAATTGAGACTTAATCCTAGCACCCAACTGAACAAATTATTAACATGCCTTGCAATTTGAATGAAAGAACCAAATATGAATGGCAATTCTAACAAAGCAAATGGCAAATTAGACACTAAACAATTAAGGAAATACAATGCATTACCTTTTGAATCAAGGGAGAAAGCTGAAAACCCACACCCTGCCATTCCCCCCTCACCCGTCCCCTCCTCACCGACTCTGTGCGTGACCTCTTAACCCTAAACAATGCATACACGCATGCTTTCCGTTCTGTATCTCTCTCTGATAATTCCTCTCTCTAAAATCGCAGAAAATCCCATAGATCCTGGCACTAAACCCGTAGCTCCCATCTCTCTCCAATCTGTCAGCCTCTCTGTTTCCATCCTCTCCACTCGCTCTGTCCCCTTCCTCCCCTTTCGGCACAGCCACACCCAGCTGTGTCCCAGTGAAAAATCAGAGGCATCGTCTTCTCTCTCCAATTTGTCAGCCGTTCTGTCTCCATCCGCTCTCTCTCCTCAAGTCAAAGGTTGAAATGCAGAGGGTGGAAATCGGGGCTAAAGAGCAAGTTGTTTAAAAGCATTTAAGTGGCAGTCTTGTAAATAAACTGAAATGTGGTCCAAAACACTGTTCATATGAATAGTGCGATTTCCCCTCCTACTTTAGACTAAAGTAATGTCTTTTTTTTTTTTTCCCTCCAAAGTTTTCAATGTCCAGTGATGTAAGTATAAAATTTGTACTTGGGAAGCTATGTACTTTATCGTATTAAGAAGTATTTATTGAGTATTAAACCAGAGAGGATATGTACATATCCAGGATCTTGTCTCTTGGGACTCAATTACGTCTGTTTAGTTCTATGGTGATGACATGGATGAACACTTAGTCTCCTTATGGTTTTTGTTTTATCATAAGGACTTCTGTGTCTGAACTCTAGATTTTTTGCGAGGTAAAATGAAAAACCAAGTTTTTAATCCGGGAACAAGGATCACCATATTCTTACCACCCCCCCCCCCCCCCCCCCCCCACTTGCATGTATTGCTAGCTAATGCATCATGCACCATCTTTTGGTTCTATCATTAATTATTGGTTGAATGAAATGGTATCATTATGTATGTGGCAGATTGGTTATTTTGTTCTGCATATCACATGGAATATGAAGTATGTTGTAATGCCATATTATCTTTTTACTCATTGAATTGTGCTTGGTTTACTTGTTACCATGTGAATGCATACAGAGTTCGGTTTCATGGTTCTTATTTCAAATCCCTGTACTTTCAGGGCCAAGGTTGGACCCTTGCTTGCCTTGCCTTGCTTCCAAAAGCTTTAGATGATGTTGGGATTTATCATTTTGTCGTGTACAGTGGGACAATCTATTTCCAATTTTCATGGTGTACGACTATGTCACCAGCAAATGGTACAATTGTTTCCTATGTTTCTTTGATCTGGTTCTTTTCAGCTTTGCTGGGAACCAGGACACATCTTGTGCAAAGAACATGAACTTTTATAAGGTTTCCAGTTTGCTTGATGCAGTTTACCTGATCTTTTGTTCTATGAACTCTGTATTTTCTATCAATTTTCCGTATTGCTTGACATAAAAAGCTACGTTAGTATAGCACTATTTCCATGCACTTTCTGAATTTGCCCAGTAAACTTTCTGTATTTTTGTTTTATCTTAATGAACTCTGAAATGTTTATATGATCCATATCCATCTGTTTATTCGAGACTCCTTAACTGTCGGTACCTTGTGCAGTTCATTGACAACCTTACATGGCTCCGAATTTACCATATAAAACCCCTGTTTGGCATGCATTTATTTCCTTTTTAGTTTATGTACTTCGATGATAGTAATCTGAAGGCACTAATATTTCTGTTTTGATAGTGTCATGACATTACAAGCATATGATATGTTCAATTTAAAATAATAATTCTGATGCTATGAGCCTAAACTTCTGATGGTATTGAAATTGTCATATTTACAGGAGGTGATTCACGCAAGTAGAGAGAAGTGAAAGGAAAGAACTAAACTTCTTTGGATGATGAGCAGTAACTAGATTCTTGTTGTGCAATTGTTTATTTGGAATACGATTATGATAATTGCGTATTTGTTTGAAATTAGCAAGAAAGTTACTCTGTTCGCATACACAAACATAAATATTGGTATAACTTATACATGCAGTAATAGTTATGAAGATTCAACAGTAATATCATAAAGCTTTTCAAACATTGGCGTACCCAAGTTGGTTAAAGCAACGCTCTTTCTCTCTACACTTAAGTTCGAATGCTCATAGTTTCTCTTGAATTATGGCATAGAGCTTGCTCACAATGTTATTTTGGAACCGCGAAAACCCAGTACTCCATGGCATGTTCAACAACAACGAGCCAAGAACACTCCAATATCCAAATGCAAACCCTAGTCCCAAGCCCAGATCGAACCAACCGTCTTCTAGTAAAAGACCAATTCCTCCCTTTTTTTGATCACCCGATGAAACCGAACTCCCACCATGGTTTGTGCTGCACTTCTCCAGTGGAGGTCCACAAAGTTTATTGCCAAAGAAACTTGACCGATCAAGGCTCTGAAGTTGTGTGCTTTCCGGAATCTGTCCTGTCAGATAGTTGTAGGACAAGTTCAAATTGCTTAGAAATGTTAACTTTGACATGCTTGGAGAAATCTGACCTGTAAGTTTGTTCCTTGAGAAATCGAGAGATTCTAACCATCTCATATCACCAATATTTGAAGGGATGTTTCCAGCCAAAAGATTTCCTGATAAGTTGAATGATTGCAAACAGACGAGGATGGTCAGCTCTTTAGGGATCTCTCCAGATATAAAGTTGTCTGAAAGGTCCAAGCTTGTCACCAAATTAAGTATTTTGTTGTACTCCACCTCCCTACCTTTTCTCACCAAGATTACATTCTCTATGTAGTTGTACTGGAAAGAAGTTGAACCATCATCAAATGATACAGTGGAGAACAAAATGGGGTCTCTCGAGTTTGAAAAATTTGCCATGGCTGTGAAATTCTTGAAACATGTTGGTATTGCTCCGGAAAGGTGGTTGTCCGCGAGGTCCAGGATCTGGAGATTTCGGAGACTGCATAGTTCATGAGGAATGTTGTCGTGAAGCATGTTTGAACGGAGGTTGAGAATTCTCAAATATGAAAGGCTTTTACCAATCCATGTTGGTATGCTTCCAACAAATTCATTTCTGTGAAGGTCAAGAAGGGCCAAGTACTCACATTTTTGCAGGGAAATAGGTACTTCTCCAGATAAGCGATTATTGCGCAAATGCAACGATTGGAGGCGTCCTAAGTGCCCAACGGAGGCTGGAATGTTCCCACCCAAACTGTTGCTTTCTAAGTTGAGAACTGTCAAGTTTTGTAGATTGTCCAAACAGTCAGGAATTTCTCCATTGAGAAAATTGTCTTGAAGCTGAAGAATTTCAAGTTGTTTTGGCCCATCAGTCTTGTCACACAAGAAATGAAACAAAGTTCCGGAAAATGATGAGTTGGAAAGATCTAGTATAGTTATGTGGGAAGAAAATAGAGGTAATGAACCGTGGAACTGGTTAGAACCTAGGTTAATTACTTCTGAAAATCTAGAATCTATATTCGGAACTTTTCCATACAATTGATTGTAAGAGAGATCCAAAAGTTGTAATCCAGGGGAAGAAAAGTTCCAAAACCAGGTAGGAATGATACCTGAAAGAGATGTATTTGACAGGTTAAGAGCATACAGTTTTGTTTGAGTTTGAAGCCATGCAGGCAACTCTGATGGCTCTAGATGCCAAGAATTTAGAAACAAGGTGTATAATTGGAAGGGAGGAAGCCAATTTGGACTAGTTTTCAGAGTCAACGAATTTTCGCTCGCATAAAAGTATTTCAGTTTTGTAAGATTGGTGAAATGAACTTCGGAGACAACACCCTCTAATTGATTGTTACCAATGTTCAAAACTTCTAAGCATGACAGATTTCCCAAGGACACTGGAATTGGACCTGATATTGAATTACTTGAAAAGTCAAGCGAGCCTAAATTTTTGAAGTTACCAAGCTGAGACAGATGACCTGAAAGATTATTATCTGATAGACCTAAAAACTCAATGCGACTTGAACTGCACGCAGACAAGCTTTCAAATATTTCTGAAATGCTTCCGCTGAAATTGTTCCTCGAAAATTCGAGAAACATTAGCTTACAAAGGTTTCCCAATGAGTTTGGGATTTTCCCATCAAGTTGGTTGTCTGATGTGTCAAGATGGACAAGGGCTGTTAAGTTTCCAATGGAACTTGAAATTTCACCATGAAAGTTATTTTCTGAAAGAAGTAGTGTTTCAAGATTGCTAAAAGTATACAACCATTTGGGAATTATAGAACTGATAGAGTTGTAATCGAGATTAAGAACTCGAAGACTAGTCATGTTCGAAATTCCGCCTGGTAGGACACCTAGATCACATTCAGACATATGTAGTTCTACCAGCTGAGAGGGAAGTGTGCTTGTCCCCTGCAACCAATGTGATACTTTGCTAAGATCTATAGCAGCAATATCCAGGTGTTGCAAATGAGAAAGGCCAGAAATCCATTGAAGGTTCTCAACTACAAAATTGTTATCAAACAGAGCAAGAGTGCGAAGACTCGAGAGGTTTCCTAGTTGAGGAGGAATTGTTCCTCCAAACCTTGCTTCTGAAAGGTTGAGATATCTTAAACTTTTCAACGAACCTAAGAAGCTAGGAATCTGTTTTCCTTCAAAATCATTTCCGTATAGGTCCAGGTAGCTAAGATGCTTTAAATTGAGCAGAGAAGGATTTAACTTACCACCCAAGCACAAACTCTCACTTGAAAATTCATCATCTGCATAATAATTCCCAAGGTGGAGCTCGCAGACATGACCGGTTTTCTTATCGCAGATAACTCCAGTCCAGTTGCAGCAGTCTCCTTCGCTGCCAACCCAAGATGAAAGCCGGTTTGAAGGATCCTTGAGGTCTTGCTTCAACATCAAAAGTGATTGTCTCTCATATTCCTTGCAAGGCGCACTGATCAGATTGCCATTGCATGAGCAAATGCTAATAGTTATTACAATGCTTAGAAATCTGAGAAGTGAAACAACTCTCATGGGATTATCCATATGGTTTTTTTTTTTTAATATAAACTATATATCAAGTCTTTGGGGTGAGTGGGGAATGAGTAATTTGTAGTGCTTTCATCTAGTTATATACTAGTTATATATAACATATTATTGAGGAGAGGAGGTCCAATTGTGGCCTACTCAATACAATATGTTGAAAGATAATACCAGCGTCAGTAAGCATGTCACGCTCAAGAGCAGTGCCAGGAAATTTCCTAAGGGCCGTGCTGCATGTGGTACTTGGCATGATTGCACTCATAAGGGTTGCAAGACTAATACAGTGTCGGTCAAGCAATAGACAAAGTCACGATTGCTTATCAAAGAGCTGCTATTTTGTCTACATCCATCTCCACATCATGGTAGACCAACGCGTTACTGACTAGTTCTTAGGTCAGTCAAGAAGAAAAAGACGAAATGGAAAAAGAAAAGTGTGACATGCCTTTTTCATCACATTCAGACCTAATTTTCCACGCACAAAGATGGTCCTTGGTCCAACCCCGAAGAAAACTAGTGTGGTTTTAAACTTTTAATTAGGGTAGAATTTTTTTTTATATTTTTGTTTAATGTTTGCTCAAAATCTTCCTGGCTTCAGAAATCAGGGCTAGTAGTTTTCAGATAATCTTAGGCGGTGTATCGTATATAGAGTTCGATGGATTTTTACAGAATTATGAATATATGAATTTTGAGCTTGATCCATGTGGAATTTAACTGAATTCTATTTGGATTATAATGGAGTTTTTGAGACTTTTATCAGAAAGTTTAATAGAATTTGTGGATTGTCACAGATATTTTAACGACTAATTTATAAATAAGCATTGCTGTTTTTCAAATTTTCATTATTTGAACCGGTGATTATTACCATGACAAAGTGGTCATATGACGTGGTGGCACCAACAAAACTGGTGCAAGTGCCATGTGGTGATGGTCAGCAAGATAGTGATAGTATAGGTGTTGTCTTAAGTGGCTGCAATAGTAGGGGTGGTGATTGTGGTGGGCAACATGGTATTGGGGTGGTGGAGGAATGGGGATGGGGCATGGTGATGGTAGTGGTAGAGAGAAGTGAAGGGAAAGAGCTCCACAACAAGGAGGTGTATTTGGTCGTGCAAGGTTACTTACTGGACAAAGTTTGCGATATCTAACACTCAATTCGACACATCTGAAATATAGTGAAATATGATTTTCACAATTGAGTTAGGATTTGTGGTTATCTCAGTTGTAAAATAAGCATGCTAAGTTGAATTGAACTTAATTGAAGTATGCAACACCAACAGTGTCAACATTGGGAAAAGAACATGTCAAATGAACATCACTGGTGTCGCAAGCCATCTCAGCTGCCATGTTAATATGTAACATTATATCTTGCATCTCTTTTTCCTGGTGTCTGTGTGGTGCTGTATTAATGGTAATTTTGCTATGAGGGATATAAAAACTTTAAGTTACGTGTGTTAATGGTAACTAGCAAACGATGCCAGTGCGGTGATGCGGGAATGAAAACCGTACAATTTTTTTTGTATTTAGTATTATTTATACATAAAGGATAATACTTGATGTGTACATACTATTTACACTATTTACATACAAAAGATTTGATGGATAATGCTATTGATAATCTCACTATATATGCGGATAATCACGCTATTTTACTCTACCATAACCAAACTGTGTAGTTCTAACGAATCTTAAGTCGTCAATTAATCTCTAAAGGACAATGTCTCTATTAATTAGCTGTCGGAGTTCCCTGAATGGCTTTCCCCCACCACCTGGTTTCATGGATTGGCAGAAGTCATGGTTCCAGATCTCCACTTAAACAATTTGCAGACACATCAAATCTCAGAAAGTTTGAACAAAATCTACAAATTAACTTGTACTATTTATCACATGTGAAGATTGGTAGACAATGAAATGAATAATATGTAAATAAAAATTGAAAGTGATTGATAGCCAAACACTGAACTCACCACAACATGTTTGAGTTCTACAAAGGTTTAAGAGCTTACATAGAAAAAGACCGATGTCAACTGGAACAAGGTCTGCTGCTTCTTTTGATCTCCTTATTTTTTTTTATGTCGTTTTGTTGGCCTTAAAAATTGCTTAAACTACGTGGCGGGCAGGCCCTTCGGTTGTCTCCAAAGTATTTAGCACTTTGAAAATGCCTTTTGCTCTCCAACCTAGTGTATAACATAAAAATATGTACGGCAACGCATGTGGGTTTCGGACATCGAATTTGGAAATTCGAGTCCCGTTTTCAATAATTTTAGTAGTAATCGATTAGGTTGCTAAATAAAGGTTATGGAACTTTGGCTGTGAATGAATAGAATTGGTTGGTGGATATTGGTAATTGTGGTTTCTTATTAGAAAGACAAAATTAAATTGAATAGGGAATTTCGAATAGCTTGATTCTATCTTTCGGTACATAGGCGGTCTAACAAAGGTTAGATGCAGTCATGAAACAAACAAAAAAAATTATTTGCGTTTTGGCCATGTCATGTACAAGTATTGGTGACGCCATGTGTCGATCTTGGACATATCTCGGGATCGGCACATGACAATATCGAATGTGTACAATTGAAAAATGTAAATTATTGGTCTAATTTTCATCTTCTTTTTTTTTTTTTTTTTATATTTTTTATTGGTTCATGTTTGTCTTACATTATAGTAATGGAAGAGAGATTTTTCAGTGTAATCGGAACATGGAGTGGTACACTACGTATCACTATACAAAATGGTGGGATATATGTGTTAAAAAGTTAATGATCTAAAAATTAAAATTTTCCACCATTTATATAAAAACACATGATGTACCACCCGTGTTCTGGTCACAAATGAAAAATTTATCGTAAAAGAATATTTTGAGATAAAGTTCATGCAACAGATTGGACCCAAGTGAAAATCTGAAAAGATAAATTTAAAGTTTTCCTAAGTTTTAAGAAACTTTAGGATTTTAGATAACTTTCTCTCTTTCCTTCTTCCACAAGGAATTGTTCTAATTATTTATTTTTTTGGTCGAGTTCTTTATTAATTAGTTTTCCGATTCCTACTGGTATTCCAATTCGTAGACGATTTTACATTTGCTTCCTATATAAAGGGTTTTAGGGTTAATATAGGGTTGTTTTATCTTTTGCAGCTGCACCAAAACTATGGCGGCTATGGCGATCTCTATGAGTCAGAGGAGGCTGGCGACCGAAGATGGCTGTAAAAACAGCGGGCCGAATTCACGTCGTCACTATTTGGGACACGATGATGAAACTCATGGAGTTTACATGCCCCCATTCAAGTTGTCCCGTATGATGAAACAAGTCGATGATAAGAGAAGCGTTGAGTATCAGCGGTTGACGTGGGACGCCCTCAGAAAGAGTATCAACGGCCTTGCCAACAAGTTGAATGTCACCAACATCAAGTATATAATCCCGGAAATTTTCACCGAGAATCTGATTCGCGGACGTGGTCTATTCTGCCAATCCTGCATGAAATCACAGACGGCGTCGCCCTGGTTCACTAATGTGCTTGCAGCATTGGTAGCTGTTGTCAACACAAAGTTTCCTGAGGTTGGTCAGCTTTTATTGGGAAGACTCGTCTTACAATTTCAGAGGGCTTTTGATCTAAAAGACAAGCCTCAGCTACAATTTCAGTGAGCTTTTCATCGAAAAGACAAGCTTCGGCTACTAGCCGCTGCGAAGTTCATAGCGCATCTGGTGAATCAGCAGGTGGCTCACGAGATTATAGCTTTGGAATTGCTCACTTTTCTGTTGGACAATCTTACAGACTTCAAGGTTGAAGTTGCCGTTGTCTTTGTGACTGAATGTGGATCAATGCTTCGGGACCTTTCGCCTAAAGGCCTCTATTTTATCTTTGAGCGCTTTCGTGGAATTCTTTACCAGGCAAACATAGAGAGAAGAATTCTGTATTTGATCGAAAACTTGTTCGCTAAGCAACGGGCCAAGTTTCAGGGTCACCCGGCTTTTCTTCCCGAGCTGGACTTAGTAGAGCAAGAAGATCAGTTGACGCATGAGATTTCTCTTCGAGATGAGATTGATCCACAGACTAGCCTTGATCTCTTTCAGCCCGATCCTGATTACCTCGAGAGCGAAAAGCGGTACAAAGAACTCAAGAAAACCATTCTAGGTGACGAGTCTGAAGATGAAGAAGCCAGTACGTATGATGCAGTTGATGCAGTTTCGGATAGTGAGGATGATGAAGAGGAAGAGGAAGAGGATGAGCAGCAGCAGATGGAAATAAGTGACCAGACACAGACTAATCTCGTAAATCTTCGAAGAACAATCTATCTTACAAGCATGTCCGGTTTATGTTTCGAGGAGGTGGGACATAAGCTGATGGAGATTAAGCTTGAGCCTGGCCAAGAGATGGAAGTATGCATCATGCTTCTGGAATGCTGCAGTCAGGAGAGAACCTACAGCCGCTATTATGGTCTCTTGGGGCAGAGGTTCTATTTGATCAACAAAGTCTACCAACAAAACTTCGAGAAGTGCTTTGTGCAGCAGTATTCCATGATCCACTGTCTTGAAACAAATAGTCTACGTAATGTTGCGAAGTTTTTTGCGCATTTACTCAGCTCAGACGCCCTCCCCTGGCATGTGCTGACCTATATACGCCTGACGGAAGAGGACACCACTTCATCTTCTCGGATTTTCCTCAAGTTCCTTATCCAGGAATTGTCACAGCATCTTGGCATTCGATTGCTGAATGAGCGACTCAATGATCCTGCAATGCAGATGCAGGGCTGTTATGATTCTATTTTCCCAAAGGATAATCCCAAGAACACCCGCTTTGCCATTAACTTTTTCACATCCATTGGGCTGGGCGGCGTCACTGAGAACCTGCGCGAGTACTTGAAGCAGATGCCCCGGCTCATATTGCAAGAACAAAATCAAGCGTCAGATGAAGATGAACATGAGAGTGCTAGTTCTGAGTCTGATGAAAGTGAAAGTGATAGGAACAAACGACACAACAAGCACAAGCCTATGCGACAGAGTGAAAGGCACGAAAGACACGAGCAGCACAAGCGTAGCAGCGGAAGTGAAAGGCTCAAAAAACACAAACGATGAAACGAACCGTTGTTCGAAAAAGAAGAAAATAGAATTGAGTTTTCTTGTTGTCCAAGTTAAGTGTTTCCTTAACCCTAAACCGTTATTTCAGTTTATTTTTACACTAGAGATTTCAGTTCAATTTTCCACAGGTATATAACCTGTTACGAAACTAATATTCATCTATTACAAGGGGGAAATTGTTATTGGTACTCTAAAATTCTCATTTTGTACTCCAAACTTTCTATAATTAAAAAGAAAAATATATTTGTGAGAATTGCAAGAAGTGTCAACATCAATGACTACAATAGATTAACGGTGAGTACAACTTGATAGACACAATCAGTGTATTGCCGGTTGTCACTAAGAGAAACGGCAACTACTAGCACGCGGCGGTCAACTTCGATGATATTAACTTCGAAGTTGGTAATTACGCCTGCTTCACGGGCGTCAAACAAGAACTAGAAAACGACCAGGAAGGGCGGAAGTTTTGTCGATGCGCTTCACTAGTTCCATTGATATGTAATTTCCAGGACATTGATGCGACCGAACAAGTTTCTTGAGTGCCTGTTGTCTACCTGCCCAGTTCTGGAACTCAGACTGGGGAGTGCTTTGACAGTGTCACACTTTAAAACACCGACTTCAAGGTCTCAGACGGTTCTTTGCAAAACCAGCTTGGATCAGATTCACAGGATGTTAAATTTGAATGACCAAAAAACACACTTTCCTCTCAACAGAAAAAAAGATTCCTACACCCTGGGAATAAACTGAATATAATTGCAAATATATACTGGACTGGACGCAACAATTAAACCATCGATATGGTGGTCCGAAACAATTTTAAAGCAAAAGTTATATCCATCGGTTGAAGATATAATGTAAGTCTACAACATGCTGAACAGGAACACAAAACCAAACTCCGATATTCAAAAATTCAAATACAAGGCGTCACTCCCAAAAAAACCTCCCCCAGTTTATCATTGGAGAAGTCTGACATGTGTTATCTTCACTGCAAGCAATTCTCTCAGCAGCACGTAACTTAAAACTCCACATATGCTTTGACTGCAGAAAGCCTTTCTGCAATCACTCTAGTTCCTTGTCAAGCAAAGTATAGAAGGATCACCTTCCAAGCCGGCTTAATTTTTCATTGCCAACGTTTGAGAGCGGAGTTATGACCTATTGATATACAAGAGATGAAATAGAAATGAGATAACGCTGTAGAATCAGAATACATAATTTGGGTATAGTGATATGATTTTAGCCATCTGCAAAGCCAGGGTTTTATCACATAGAAATACTTGCAAGAGAACAATGTAACTGTAGTGCAAATGGCTGAAGCAAGGTTGATCTCCACAGGGACTGATGCCCTTACTATCAATATCAGCAAAAAGAAGAGGAGTTTGCTCGTAATCAACCAAAATCTTGCAATGAAGAAACCAAGTATGCATACTAATGAATAACGCCAAGGATGCAATGATTAGTCTCAAAACCCTAAAAAACAAAACATTGCATCCAGACCCGAGTTGAACATTGCACAAAATAAAATCGAACTATTACCAAAATTGACATTATACTTCAAACACAAACTCATTTAGACACACCTAACAAAGGATGAACAAGACTTATTTCATTAATAACATATATATACCAGTGCAACATGATGTGACACATTACAAATTTTCACTAAAAAAGCTAATAAAACATATCTACACCAACGTGACACATAACATGCCTCAAACCCCAAAACAAAATTGCCTCAAGATAGCACACAATGTGGCACATCAAAGATCTGTAAACAGTTTTTGTTATTTTTATTATTGGTTCTTCCAATCTGGTTTGTGAGATTACGGGGTGGGGTAAGAAACAATTAAATCCTCACCTCCAGTAGAGGGTTTATCTTATATAAAGTAATTTTCCCCTCCATCGACCAGCAAACAAGTGCAGCACTAAATAATGATTGCAAAATTATAACTGAAAAAATAAAGTACAATTTGGTTTTCAATGTGTGTTGTAATTTGCAAATGTGTGAAATAAATTATGAATGAGTTGAAAGTCCTTTATGTAAACTGCAAATATGTATCAGCAAGTTTATAATTACCGGGTCAAGAAGATGGCAGTTGGGCTTCCAGGGGATGGCGGATTCTGCTCTATTAATTTAACAAGTGAACCAGCTTTAGCAAGAGCATCAGGGTCGGTACCAGACAGAACTTCTACTTCTTCAAGCTCGACTTGTCCCTTAGTGTCCACCTTCACTTGTCTCTTAATTAAGTCCAAGTTCTCTTGAAGGACCTCAATCTCTCCAAATGGTAGCTTCAAGTCTAAGGCATGGGCCCCAAGAGTAACCGCCTCATCCTTTTTGAACCTCAAAAAAGGCATACAAAGCTTTTGGGTTTGTCTAAAATCTTTACTCTGACCAACTGAACTTCTTTGCAAAGCCTCCAGAATTACCTTGTCTGAAGCAAAAGTGTGAGTATCTCGGTCAAAGTTACTTTGTAGTATCCTCAAACACTCCGCCTTCCATCCATCGAATTGCTCATTTACATATATCAAACCAATCAACCTTTTGGTTTCCATCGAGGTTTTAACTGGAGGACCCTTCTTATTGGCTTTTGTTGAGCCTGAAGTTTGCTTTTCAAGAAGCTTCCTCATAACAACAATGGAATGTTGCAAATACTTGTTGGCACTCTGGAGGATCAGATCTGGAGAATCAGCCACAGGCCATCCTGCATTAACCACAAACCCTTCCTTCTTTAAAAGTTCCCTCCATACATATTCGGCATAGTGCGGACAGATTGGGGTAATGAGACGTGTCTGCACATCCATAAAACGCCACAGCAATTCATGGTTCATGCCCCCAGAACCACATGAAAGCCTGTACTCATCCCTAGAAGCCTGAAGATCGTAAAACCCAGTCTTGAGCGCATCTCGGAACATGTAATCCCGGTAATTCTGCTCAGTCCTGTTCACAGCAATATTTATCTCATTCAAAAAGACCCTGTCAGCATAAGTAGAAGGAGGACCTATTCTCAAAGAGGATTCTGCAGCTAAAACTTCTTCCATCCATGCGATCTCTTTAGTTAGCTTTAGAATAGCAGCATTTGCAGTCTCAAATACGAAATTTGCATCATCAACACCATCTCCAGCATCAGCCAATGAGAATCGCGTGGCATCAGCAGAAAATTCCTCAATTGCCTGGCGAATGGTCCTAAAGTTCCCTGTAGACTTAGACATCTTCTCAGCATTTAACATGATGTGCCCATTGCATCTAAATCCACGAGGCCAATGCTTCTTGCGCATAATTGCCGTGTGGTTGTAAATGCAGAAGGTTAAATGATTTTGGATTAGATCCTTGCCAGACACTCGAAGATCAAAAGGATACCAATACTCAAATTCCTGCTTCATCTTATTAAGATTGGATGACGAGATGTCAGATGATTCAGGATATGGGCCATCACAGAAAATATACTCCCAGACCTCATCAGTCATTTGTTCAGGTTTAATTACAGATTTGCTGGAACCATACATGTCTCCATTGTGTAAAATGTGAGCAATAGTGTAATAAGCCATGTAAATAGTTGAATCAGACAACGACTCAACTACAAACTCTTCATCCCAGGGAATACGAGTCCCAAGACCAAACGATCGTGAACAAGCCCATTGATTCAACCAACCCAATGTGTGTTCAAATCCATGTCTTGTCTCGTCATGATACAAATTCATGCTGGACAAGCACTCCTCAGCCAGTTTTTTCCATTCGGGTTCCCCATATGTGATATACCATTGATCTGTGAGAGCCACAACACATTCATCACCTGATCGTGACACCACCCGCTTCTCAGGTTCACTATATACAATTGCTTCATTTGCCTCTATGAGCTTGCTCCTTATCAACGGTTTTGCCTCCTGGACTTTCCATCCTTCGAATTCACCCACAATAAGTGTTCCTTCAGTGAATCCTTTCAGGTATGTCAGCCTCTTGGCTTCTGCTAGCTTCTCTTTCTCATTCTGGCTCTTGATTTTTAGATCTGCACAGACCTTTTCCGCAGCTTTATTTCCAAATTCAGGAATATTGATAATTGGAATAATCTCAAAGGGCATGACCCACTCATCCTTCACGCCATATTTTGCTCTAAGAGCGGGTTTGGCTTTTAAATCATGTAAGGCCATATAATCATCAGGAGAATCAGCAGGCACACTGGTCACAATCCCAGTACCTTTGTCTGTCAGGACAGTCAACATAGGAAGAGTGTAAATAATCTGATTGATTGCACGTGGTGACTTCAATGGAAGGCCAATCAAATCACGGCCCGTGAGCTTCACCAAACAGGTAGGTTTCTCTGGGACCCTAGAATACTTCTGATAGGCAAGATTAAGTGCTGCTCTCTGCGTTAGAATAAGTACCTCTGTTTCATTGATTTCAAAGGCTCCATATTTCCCATCAGGCAATACCCATGCATTTGTTTGTCCATACATGGTCTCAGGTCTCAGTGTTGCTGCAGCAAGGAACACTTTCCTTCCCTCCAACACTTTCAGTTTAGATGGGAAAGGTGCAACCACCTCCATTTTGATGAGGATGTATTCCTGGGGCTGAACACCTTCGCCACTTGCCCTATCATGATCTGCACATGGCTGCCCATCCAATGGAGAGTAAATTGTGTAACGGACATCTTTCACAATCTTGCCCATGGATTTTAATTTCCTCACCTGCCACCTCACAAAGGCATCAAAAACTGGGTTCATGTCTGTAGTAATAAATGACCGCCTCCAATCACATCCCAATCCAAAAGCCTTGAGGTCTTCCACTGCCAATGGAGGAAAGAATGTCAACCAGTTGTATGGATTTTGGAATTTGGATATCTCGCTATCGGAGAGGCCAAAACTACGCATGATTTCCCATTGGTATGCTTGTCCACCTGATTTTGATGCAGCCTTTGACTTCTTTCCCTTGAACTTATCTGGAGGTGCTCCACTATTTGCACCTTCTGTTTCTGCTTCAACTTCCTGACTCCCCTGTTCCACTTCTTTTGGAAAAACTGGAGGGTCGCCAAACAGTTGAATCTCTCTCGCAAGTTTATCAGCCGACGCTTTGATAGGCATGCCAGTGCAATGGAAAGCAAACGGCAAAAGCACATTGGCACCTCTTAACCTATGGTAAGCTGCAGCAAACTCTAGCTTGGAGAGTGAGAATGCATGTCCAAGATGCAAAAAACCATTCATGTACGGAAATGGAAAGTTTCCAAAGAACTTCTCCCCAGGTTCGGGAGGCTTTTCGCAAGATTCAGCTCTGAAAACATCCTTCTCTTCCCACCAGCTTCGAACCTTTGTCTCAATCTCGAGGAGGTGGTCTCTCCTGGCGAAGCTCCTACCACCACCTTCAGCCGCCATTTCAGTAATCTTACAGAAACTGCAAAAAGTGAAATGTTTTACATAAGCAAACCAGCGTTCCAAAGGCATTATTACCTCAAATAAAAATCCAAGTAAAACATCCAAATTAAAATTAACCCCTTAGAGTGAATGAAAAGGCAACATGGTTGTAGCACAATTTAAAAAAAAAAAAAAAAAAAAAAAAAAGCAAAGAATTATTATTATTATAGAGGATTAAAAGCCAAGCAAGTCCGCACTGGTTATTCACATAATTCGAAGGTAAATTTCAGCTAGATAAAAACCAGTTATCACCACTACATACATACACAGTGTTTAAAAGTTCTTCGATATGGTTGATGTTTCAAAAAATCAGAGGAAGAACTGAAAGGGAGTGGAATCTAAACTTCATCCATATTGGAGAAATTCTTCAATTTCGGCTAAAATCGACAGATTTCGTCAATATTTCCAACATCAGTTAAATCTCGGAGAAACACTTATATGTCGTGTTTGACATTCCTCAAATTTCATTTTAAATTTCAAACGTTTTTGAGTAAATTTCCATCATTTTGCAACCCATATTGATATCGATA